TCTTCAACAAGGTTCAAGTCAAAACGACGGTCGGAGGGGCCAGACATTTTCAAAGGTGTTGAAGAGAGAAGAGGTCGGACAAATCAAGATCTTAGAAGTGCAAGAATGAAGCTTCTACTGGTGGAGATTCAAGTGTGCTTTGGAACTTAATGCCAGCCCCTATAAAAATCTGCACTCGACGGAGCTTCAGAAATCGAAGAGGCGCCTGCTCAGAAATCGAAGAGGCGTTTGCTTTCTCAAAAGTTGGGCTGCTCTTAGAGATCACGAGGGTTGATCTCAGAAATCGAAGAGGCGTTTGCTTTCTCAAAAGTTGGGCTGCTCAAAGACCACGAAGGCCGATCTCAGAAATCGAAGAGGCGTTCGCTTTCTCAAAAGCTGGGCTCCCCAGAGACCACGAGGGTCGATCTCAGAAATCGAAGAGGCATCTACTTTTCCAGCCTTGTCAGCACCTGTCACACGCACACTCAGCTTTGCGGAAATTATGGGCATTCTGTCAAAGACTTCTGGGGAAGTAGTCCCACACGCAACAATAGCTCATGGGTACCACAGATAACTTTGCCAAAGTTCTCTGCCAAAGTTGAGCACGTGAAGCTTGCAGCTCCCACTACACCGCTCTGACCAAGAAGGGTAAAAGAATAGCAAAGAAACAGCACTAACAAAGTTTAGACCCATAAATTTTGAAGGTCTAGCTACCATATTATTACCCACAAGGGTAAAGGAACAGTACCACTGTTGGATAATTGGAAAGTCCCTGTGTGTCAACCTCTGTGCTTCGTGGCAAGGTAGACTAGCAAACATGCCCAACCTTTACTCACATTCGAGAAAACACTCCCAACAAGATTGCTTGCTCCAAAATCGAAGAGGCACCGCCCTCCGAATCTCGAGGGCCACTCTCCCAACATGATTACTTTCTCAAAAATCGAAGAGACACTGCTCCCCGAATCTTAAGAGCCAGACCCCCAGCATGATTGCTTTCTCAAAAATCGATGAGGCATCGTTCTCCGAATCAATTGAAGAGGCGCTCGCTTTCTCAAAAGCTGGGCTGCTCAGAGACCACGAGGGCCGATCTCAGAAATCGAAGAGGCACCTACTTTTCTAGCCTTGTCAGCACCTGTCACACGCACACTCAGCTTTGCAGAAATTATGGGCATTTTGTCGAAGACTTCTGGTGAAGTAGAAAGCACATGAATCTTACTGTTCAATCACCCACTTCCCACACGCAACAATAACTCATGGGTACCATAGATAACTTTGCCAAAGTTCTCTGCCAAAGTTGAGCACGTGAAGCTTGCAGCTCCCACTACATCGCTCTGACCAAGAAAGGTAAAAGAATAGCAAAGAAACAGCACTAACAAAGTTTAGACACATAAATTTTGAAGGTCTAGCTACCATATTATTACCCACAAGGGTAAAGGAACAGTACGGATAATTGGAAAGTCCCTGTGTGTCAACCTCTGTGCTTCGTGGCAAGGTAGACTAGCAAACATGCCCAACCTTTACTCACATTCGAGAAAAACACTCCCAACAAGATTGCTTGCTCCAAAATCGAAGAGGCACCGTCCTCCGAATCTCGAGAGCCAGACTCCCAACATGACTACTTTCTCAAAATCGAAGAGAGGGTAAAGGAAACAGTACCATTGCTGGATAATTGGAAAGTCCCTGTGTGTCAACCTTTGTGCTTCGTGGCAAGGTAGACTAGCAAACATGTCCAACCTTTACTCACATTCGAGACAACACTCCCAACAAGATTGCTTGCTCCAAAATCGAAGAGGCACCGCCCTCCGAATCTTGAGAGCCAGACTCCCAACATGATTACTTCCTCAAAATCGAAGAGACACTGCTCTCCGAATCTCGAGAGTCAGACCCCCATCATGATTGCTTTCTCAAAAATCGAAGAGGCATCGTTCTCCGAATCTCGAGAGCCAGATACCACAGACCACTTTTTCAAAGTGCTCTGACAAGAGTTAAAACATGTGAAACTGGCAGCTCCCACTACCGTGCTATGACCAAGCAGGGTAAAGGAATAGCATTACTACTTGTTGTTAGGGAGACTCCTATATATGTCGACCTCCATCCCCAACGGACAGGCAGACCTGCAAAAAATGCTCAACCCTTCATCATATCTGAGAGGGCACTCCCAACGAAGCCTTTCGAAATATTCAGCTTTCTTTCCCCCCGATAATACCTCTGCAAACAAGCCTATACCTAGAGCAAGAATATCTCATATCATCAGGGTTAAAAGCAAGAGTATCCCATATCATGCTTTTTCCCTGTCTTTTCCTTTGGCCTTGTTTTTACCTGCAAGACAAGGAGAAAGAGAGCAATCAGTCAGCACTTGGAATCAAGCTTCCAGCCAGGAACTGACTGCCTGGAACCCCTTACCTGATTACTTACCTGGCATTGCTCTCGAGTACTCATCTTCAACATCTTATGTTTCTAGGGAAGATACCGCATCTGCCTGAGGAACAGATAGGGTAAGTGAGAAGGATACAAGGAAGCATGTGGAGACAAGCGTAACAGAACACGTGCCGATACATCCATTACTTCTGTCAAAAGCAAAAGTATCCCATATCATCAGGTCGAACGTACTCTAGATTTGATAGACTTGTTTTGACCCTCAAATTCTTCAGTCGGCCTTATACTCTGGAGGAAACCAGAAAACCCTCCAGCTCAGTTCAAGAATAAGCCTGTGGAAAGTTACTTCTTCAAAAGCAAAAGTATCTCATATCATCTCTTCTCATTTTTCTTCTCTTTATCCTTCATGCTGCTGCAAGATGGGGAGAAGGTGAACAATCAGTCGGAGCTCTGATTGCTTACCTTGTCTGTCACCTCTTTCAGCAGATCCCCTAGCTCGGCGACTTGGGAGACTCCTACTACATGGTTTGTATCGCGCTTGACCAAGCCTGAAACTACAAGTAAGCTTCAAGTGAAATTGATACATTACCTTGTGCATCTCCACCAGTTAAAGATACCACCCATGATGGAGGAAGAGTACTTCCAGAGAAGATGCCACATCTACCTATGAGACAGATAAGGCAAGTCAAGACGACACCACACTCCGATACTTAGAAGTTTCGTGATTACGAGATCATTCTCCCACAATATTTCCTAATGTCATTTGTACTAAATCATTCACTTGTACTCACTAAAGGAGAGCTTGAACCTATGTACTTGTGTAAACCCTTCACAATTAATGAGAACTCTTCTATTCCGTGGACGTAGCCAATCTGGGTGAACCACGTACATCTTGTGTTTGCTTTCCTATCTCTATCCATTTATATACTTATCCACACTAATGACCGGAGCAATCTAGCGAAGATCACAAAAAGCGACCGTTTTCGCTACCTAGGATCTATCTTGCAAGAGAACGGAGAATTAGATGGAGATCTCAACCATAGAATACGAGCTGGATGGAAAGAGTGAATCCGGCGTGTTGTGTGACCGTCGTAGGCCACTGAAGCTCAAGGGAAAATTTTATAGGACGGCAACAAGGCCAACGATGTTGTATGGCACAGAATGTTGGGTGGTGAAGCATCAACACGTACACAAAATGGGTGTAGCGGAGATGAGGATGCTTCGTGGGATGTGTGGGCACACGAGAAAGGATAAGATTGGGAATGAGGATATCCGAGGTAAAGTAGGAGTAGCCGAAATTGTAGGAAAGATGAGAAAAAATCGGCTCCGGTGATTTGGACATGTGCAAAGAAGGCCGACTGACGCTCCGGTTCGAAGATGTGACTACGGGACAGAGGTTCAGGGCCGAAGGGGTAGAGGAAGACCTAGGAAAACTTTGGAAGAGACTCTAAGAAAAGACTTAGAGTACTTGGATCTAACGGAGGACATGACACAAAACCGAGAGCAATGGCGTTCTAGGATTCATATAGCCGACCCCACTTAGTGGGAAAAGGCTTTGTTGTTGTTGTTGTTGTTGTTGTTTGGTTCAGTGCGGTTTTGGAGCCAAAATCGAAATGAAACCAAACCATTTGGTTCAATTCGATGCGATTTCAAACGGTTTCGGTTTGGTTTCAAATATGTAAGTGAGTAAATCAAATATGTAACAACCATCATAATCTTATAATTACAACGTAAGTGAGTAAATCAAATATGTAACAACCTAAGATAAGGTTGTTGAGTATTACGCTAACAAAGTGGATAGTAATTGCTGCTTCAGCTTGGGCTATGAGAATTACATTGCTCCCCATTCTTATGCGGCAAATTAAGTTGATAAGGATTGTGCAGTTACTTCCCAAATGCAAGTTTTAAACTTTGACTTGATCACTTCATTAGACTGTTTTGTAGCTTTACTCATGCAATTATATTTTGCCGATCAAATGCTAAAGTTTGGTTTAACCAGAAACAATATTCATCTCTGGATATTTAATAAAATGTCTTTTAAATATATGCGGTGTGGTTCGATTTCGGTGCGGTATTCAAAAGTTAAAATCAAAACCAAACCGTTTTCTTACCCTTCGATTTGGTTTCAAACTGAAATCGTTTCATAACCACAAAACCAAACCGTTCGATGCGGTTTGGTTTGGTTCGTGTTTCGGTTTTGGTTTTCGATTCCAAGTGCCCACCCCTAGTTTGTATACTAGAATCCAGATGATGATGATGCAACATACTGAACGGAAGACGGTCCTCTTTGGATCCACTTTATAGGAAACCTAAGGATCACCACATACTAGTCGTTCACACTTTACAGGAATCCTAGGGATCCCCACATCCTAGTCGTTCATCGTACATCGTGCAGTCAATTTTCGTCAGGTACTATTTGTGTTTAATTTTAAATTAAGAAATCAAATGATTTCTGACCGCACGATGCACGATGAATGACTAAGATGTGAAAATCCCTAGAATCCTCACCATTTGAATCCGGATGGGATCCAAATACATGAACCACCATCAATCCATCCATCTAAATAATAAGAAATCGATTTAAACAGCAACCAACAACTTAAACAGCAACCTTAATAATTAATAATCATAATATAGATTAGGTAAGTAAGAAAGATACAGATTTTAAACATTAATAATCATATTATCATCATAATCTCTTTCACAATCACTGAAAACTCAAATCACTTAATTACCCCAAAGCGAAAACTGCAACATCTATTAGGCTATTACAATAACACACCAAATGTGACACCTTTCCCTTCCATGATCCATCCAACCATAGCAATTACACCAATTTCTCCTCCAAAACAGCTTAACTTACCACCAGAAATCATGCCTCAATATTGATCTATTATTCCAAAACACCAGTACAGATAAACAGACGACAACAACTACTAGTTTCGCTTGTCAACCCAACCCAACATCCCTCTCTAATCCTGCAAACACAACATTTCAAAGTTAGTTATAACCACAAGAAGGCAATGAATCATGGGTTCATGACAAAGCATTGTGACTCCGTTCACCCGATAACAAACAAAACATAGTCACACTTATTGAGCACGTATGCATAAAAGTTAATATGCAATGCAACCATGAGTTTTATTTACAACTGCAGAGCATATGTGGGCAAAACAAGTGAAAGCTCAACGTTGTAATCTGTGTGTAAACGAATACAATTCCGATGCTTGCTAAAGGGGAAGTTGCAAACATTCCATCCAGGGGTAAGTCAGGGAACAAGTACATTATCATTCATAGTTAGTACACACCACACCATGCACAGAGCATACTTATAGTTGATCATTCATTTGTGTCCTCCTTTTCAATTTGTTCCATCATATTCATACGGTAAATGATTAATTGTTGTGGCGACATATATTAACAATTTAACACATAGTCTAATAGTTGATCCCTGTTTCAAGGTTTTTGATATATATAACGGATCCAAGAGATATCATATCAACTACAAATGATCCACTATCTACTCATGGAGATTCATGAGAATCATGCAGAATGCACACATAGTTTACATATATACACATTACCTCATCATCATCGTCATCACCGCCATCTTCCTTGTTCTTCTTGATGCGTGTAGTACCACCCTCCTTGACAATGGGCAACTTCATGGCTCCAAAGGGCGTGTCCACATTGATATTCCCTTTGATGCTGTAGCCGGTACCCTTTCCCCGAATCATATCCCAGAGCGCAGACCCGAAATCCTTAGGCCTGAAGGTAATGGGAACATCGACATAAGTAATGCCCTTTTTAGTAAGATTGGCAGACTTGGCGAGCTCTGCACCCCCAATGCTCTCATCACACAGCCAAATCTCGTAGTCGAGAGCATTGAGGCCTAAGTCAAAGTCATTCATGTTCTCCAGCTTCAAATGGAGGACCGCAACGGTTTCCTCAAAGGAGAAGGTTTGAAACCTGATCTTCTCAACATCGACATCAGGCTTGTAAGGGATGGGGATTTCTCCAGTTTTCTCGAGGGGGATAGTGATTCTGCCGATGACAGGGACATCCACAATGAGATCGACCTTGACCCTGTACGGAATGATGCTTCCAGGCTTGATGTCATCGTAGGTGCTCTTGATGTCATCGTACACCAAGTGGACGGGAACTTTGACAGTCTCCTCCCCGTGGGCGTGGATTGTCCCAGCATCGGGGATCAACCCGGAGACAAGTTTCCTCCCATCACTTTCGATCAAGTAGTTAATGTCGATGAGAGGGATGGGAACCGGATTAGGGTTCTTGATGAGCACATCCACCACGATCTCGGCCCTTTCGAGATTGATGCTGGGGATGTGAACGGCAGCAACATCGGCGGTTGGCTTGCCGAACCCAATGGCACCCTCGATCTTCTCCCCAATGTCTTGGATGAAACCCTTCACCTTGTCAATAAATCCACCCTCCTCCTCCCCCTCCTCCTTCTTTTGATCCTTCTTCTCCTTAGCACCCCGATCCACAATTTCGGGCTTATCATCAGACGATGCCATGGATTCCCCTATAAATTAATAAACATATATAAATTTGCAATTGATTCCCTTATATGGTTGTCTTCAACACACTAAATCAAACAGAAATATACAATTTTGAGATCAACACAAATCTCTCTTCTGAGAAAAAGAAAAAGATCATGTATGATGAGAGATCTAAAGGTCAATGATCGGAGATGTGATGGGACGAACACTTACCTGTTACTGTTGGTGGAAGTTCCTCCTCAATTCAAGCAGCAGCAGCAGAGATTCAAAGAAAATTCAATCCAGGAACAAGTAGAATTATTCACTTGAAAAGCAGTGCACAATCTCTTATCTTTTTGGCCGGCTGATCGCATTAATCATTTTTTGAAATTATGTCTTGACAAAATATGTGAATTAATGTTTATTTTTATGATTATTTATGAGGAAGCCGGGCGACGTGTACAGTCAGTGTTGTATAGATAGAGATGGAAGAGGTCCCACCTCATTAAACTGTACGCGGGACTCACGCCTATTTTCCGCGTGTAAAATCTTTTTCTTTTACTCTGTTTGGTAATTAATTTGGCCAAATAAGGTAGGTAAATAAACCTTTTAAAAATTATAATAATTTTAATTATTGAATTAAATTTTAAATGATCGGATTTATTGATTAATAAAATTTGGTGGAAGGGAGATCCCTTTCCTATTGTTGGAATTGAATAGGTCATTGGTTAGGTGTCTTTAGCTTCAAATTCAATAAAAAAATAAAGGGTAATGTTAGAGAGACTAAATTTATTGACAAAATTTACAAATTAAATGATATGTCATCAATAAAAAAATATCACGTTTATCAGCGCTTGAGTGAAATCTATTCATGAGCTTCCATATCCTTTAGTTTGCAAATTTTATCTATAAATTAGTCTCTCTAGCATCCAAAAATAAATTCAATTGAAAGGAAGGCTCAGCAAAGATATTCCAACTTCCTTTTTTTTCCTTTTTATTTCGTCTGATTAACTGGAGACTGACTGGAGTTGTAAAACTAAAACAATCAAAATTCAAATGAGATGAAATGAAATGAATGAATGATCAGAGAATGGTGCCATCTGGAATTACTGCACTCGGAAGGAGGACTAGTATTCCGTCACGAATAACATATCCATCACCTTCTCTGTCCGCTTCTTTCACATTATCTTTATTGATGATCTGCACCAAGCACGCACAGCCATCAGTCCACAATATTATCATCAAAACCCCACTCATGCTATTTCATTAAATTTGAAGATAATGGAAAACCGAGCGTTATAAGATTCATACAACTGACTCCACCTAGTGGGACAAGACTTCGCTATTGTTATTGAAGATAATGGAAAATAGTAGTACATATCCATAAAGACATACATACTATGAAGCATGAATATGGATACAATTACGGCGATACAATACGATACGACACGACACGGCGATACGGAAAATCTTAAAAAATTAAGATACGATACGCTATGGATACGCCAAATAAAAATATATATAACAACAAAAATATACATTTTAAAACATAGTTCATCATTCAAATTCAAGTACATTTGAGGGTCGTATTCATACAGTAGAAGAAGTGTGAGAGTCGTATTCATGGTTTTAATTAGAGGGAAGCTCTTTGTATTTAGCAACTTTCAATTATAGATGTCTCCTATTAATTTTCTCTTCCTCATTACCTTTTTCTAGAAATTGTAAATGTATTTTAAAAGCAGGATATGTGTATCCTAAATGTAGAATACGCATATCCATTATGTCAAATTCATGTCCATCAACCAGGATACGTGTCGGACGAGTATCCGAAAGTATCGGGCAAGTATCGTATCCGATCAAGTATCGGATACGGGATACGGGACCAAACAGAAGTATCCGTGCATCATAGCATACATACCATAACATTGTTGCCAATTCTTGCATTCTTGTCGATAATAGCCTTCCTTACTTGAGTATCTTCGCCAATTCCCATCACGGGGATCGCACCCGCCATGCCTTTCCTCTTCCCCCCATCTTCTGTCTGCGACTCTCACTCTCACTGTCAGTATATAATAACATAGAGAAAAAAAGAAAGACAACAAACAACAAGGGTCAAAGGGATGGATCCTTAGTCCTTACTTGGTACGTGGTTGAACCCATGATGACTGAATCCTCGACTATAGCCCCATTTCCGATTCTCGTCCTCATACCAATTACTGCCCCTTTGATCCTGCATCCCTACTCTTGTACAAGTCCAAAACCCCCATGCATTCAGTTTACATCAGTTGAGTATGTACTAGTTTTTCGGAGAAATCCAATCGATAAAATTTGAAGAAAGAATTCAAAATCCTACAGGAACAATGCTCTGCTTACATTGAGGATGCAACCATCTCCAATTACACTGTTTGTAATTACAGCGTTTGCTATTTGAGTTGGAGGCAGACGCCGAGGCAGTGTGTAGACCGGACTTTCTCTGTCGTAGAAGCTGCGCTATATATATGCAACCACCAAGTTTGTGTGTTAGTCAATGACATTGAGGACTGAGCGCTCCAAATCAGCTTTCAGCCTTTCCCCGCACATTATGTGTGTGTGCATGTTAAGTGATGTATGAGATCGAGTTACTGACTTATATCCTACGTCTGCATCCCTTGTGCTTTGCATATTTGCTTCGTAGAATGCTTTAATATTCCTCATGTCCTCCCAATATCCATCAAATGCATAAGCTTGAACCTGACCCCTCGCACAAAAAGCGCAGTACTGTGCTTGAATTAGCACTCTGAATTCTGAAAGTAATACCACAAGAGAAAAATAAATACATTTTACACTATGTATGCAGGTATGACCTTCATTCCGAAAGATATGGCACCCGGAATTACTTCACTTGTGAAGTCATTTCCCTTTGGAAAATGTTCTTCCAGAAGCCTTTTCATTACACCTCTGTTGATGAGATAGATTCCCATACTTGCCATACTACTTTGGGCAGTATCGTTGGATTTTCTTGAGCTTTTGGGCTGAAATTTCAGATTCATGCTGCCTCAGAAAACACCGGAAATCATACCATATGAAGAGACATTTGTAGAAGACAAAAAACGAAAAAGAATCTGTTGAGTAGTACTTACTGAAGCAACCACAACTGACTTTCCCTCCAAATTCAGTCTGAAATCTGTAACTTGATTTTCAGAGTTCACATTTAGAAAGCCAAATCCCGGATCATGAAGTCTCCTGGCAACAGATGTAGCAATGGTAATGTCAGCGCCATTGTCTCGGTGCGACATGATGAGTTTCTGGTAGTCCATACTGTAGAGATGGTGACCGGGAAGGACCAAAAACTCAGTCACGGGATACTCTTCCAGCACCCACAGACATCTTCTCACAGCATCAGCAGTTCCCTAATATCAAGTTACTAAAATTTCAAGACTCTGAACTGTAACTACTGAAGTATTAAAAGTCCGGATTATTTTCAGTACACGAGAGATTTCAGACCTGAAACCATGTGTTATTGCCGGGGCTCTGATACGCGGCAATGAGCTGAACAAAGCCCTCATTCCCAAGGCCAACTCCAGAGTAAGCTCTGGAAAGGTGGGAATTGAGAGAAGTAGAGTTAACCTGTGTGAGAGCATATATGTGGCTTATGTTGCTGCTAATGCAGTTGCTCACAACCGAATCAATGAGCCTGTAATTTGCTGCAATAGGTATCGCCCCTTCTGATCTTCTCTTTGTCAGCGGGTAAAGTTGAGACTCGTGCCCATCCCCGAACACAACAGCTGCCACACTCTGACATGAATAAATGTACACATACGTAATCTAACCGATGCTCATGAATCATCTAACCGTATTGTGAAACAAGAATTGATTAAAGATTATCTCCTATACGCAAACTAGCATTTCCGTTAGAGGTAATTAAATCAACTTGAGAGCTTATGCATCATTGGCATGATTTAAGCAGGAATTGAATTAAACCTGATTGGCCGGAGGAAACAACAAAGTTGGAGTCTGAGACTGGTGTGACTTGGATACCAAGAACATCGGAGGAAGAGTGGTAGAATGAAGCTTGAGGGAACGGTTTTCGTGAATACTACCATCTGATGCAGTAACGGAGCACCTTGCTCGGATGCTAACAACGGAGGGAAAACAACGCTGCAAGATCACCATCACGGTATACAGACAGAGCACGACAAGAGTAATGAATGTATGTACAATTGCAAATCTATATTGAAGGAATAATTTGCTCGTCTTCGACTTCTGAATCCAACTGGTTTAAGACTAAATAGAACGTATAACAAGGGGAATATTAATATTGAGCAAACCTTGCTTGCATGGCTAGATCAGGGTTAGAGGCAAGGATTTGGTTTCCGAGCAGCATTTTTAATAACTTAACTTTGATTCTGAGCTTCTTCTTTTTCTCTTTGTTCTTTTCAGTTGTTTGTTCTCTTTGTTTCCTATGTCTTCCAAGTTATTCATTTCCTACTTAACAGCTGCACAAACAAAACCTCTGCTGTTTAACAACAATAGCTTGTCCATTCTCTTCAACTGCAAATGACGTTCTTACCCTAACAAGTAATACCTTTTTCAATTACATGGTACTTTGCAAGAAAAGATGTCTTTTGATAAGGGAAAGGGACCCTCTCCGGATTTCTTCCACCAAATCCATCAAATCAATCAATCTAAATCCTTAAATTTGATTTAACTGCTACAATAAGGAGAGCATTTTAAAAGTTATAATAACTTTAACCGTTTATCAAATTTCAAGGACCCGGATTAGGTGATAGGGTGGATTTGATGGAAGAGATATGGAGAGGATCCCTTTCCTTTGATAAGGGCAGTTTTGTCACTTTACTGTTGGGCATTTTGGAATGGAGTGGCATCCAAGGCAGGCATTGTTGGCTCTCTCATCTTCCCCTGCCCGTCTTCTCTTTAAAATAATATGAAATGAAGAAACACGCCATATGAAATGAAGAAACACATGCCATAAAATGGATTTGAATTCTATCCGGATACAACTTGTGGGGATCCTCACATCGTAGCCGTCTATCGTATATCGTGCGGTCAGAAATCATTTTTAATTTTATTATTTAAAATTAAACATAAATAGTACTTAACGAAAACATTGCAAGAGAAGATGGTACTACAGCAATAAGACCTCACAACGGCGTTATGTTCTAGATTTCAACCTCATGTTAAAAAGTGAGATGTTAGGTGAAGGAGCCACGATGATCAAAGAATCAAATGCTTGCAAATGTGGAATAGCAACACAAAATCACACGTACCCAGGAAGCGAGGAGCTTTTTATTCATAACATCAAACATACTTCTTATTTCTACTCAATTGCTCTTTATCAGGGTTTAGCAATCAACAAAGAGCCGACCACAGTTTGGGATAATGTGGTTTACCATGTTACAGTTTTAGATTACCCACAAGACATATATTCTAGCAGTTCAAAAATGGAACAACAACAACAAAAAACAACAACAATGAGCACATCTAGCAACGGAAAACACTGAGTCGCTGACCAAACTACAAATTTATCTGCCTCTCCTCAGACTCAGAGTAACATTACCATTACTTCAGTTGGTGCTCAAACAAAGATGCCATCTCAATCTGCGATACAAATCAAAATAATCATGAACGGGTTATACCTAAACTAAAAACACAAAGAAAAATGAAATTACCCTTGGAACAAACAGAAAATATATCAAAGCGCAGTTCATGAATAAACAATCCCGTCTTCAACATGGAACCTACTTGCTTCTATCCTCTTATTCATACAAACTCCCATAAGGCCAGGTTATATTAGTGTCATATGGAAGGGTTTTAGTCAGATTACAGTTTCTAATTAAAAGTTAAATTATATTAATGCATTAGACTAAGTTTAAACAATACATCTTTATAATTCTTAATACTCAAAGAAAAATATAAAAGGAAGCAATTAACCAAAATCAAATGCAATACCTCCGCTACCAAGATAACTTAATTAAGAATAATTTGATATCAACTTACAGCTGTCATAGCAGTCTCTGCACCCTTATTTCCAGATTTACCACCCGCTCGATTTATAGCCTGTGATGGTAGTAAAAGGAAATGGTATGATCGATCATATTCCCCGCTTCTGTAATAAAAAGAAAACTCTCTAGAGTTTTCGGTGCTACATTTGAACACTATGATAAAATATTTACCTGCTCCATATTATCACAAGTTAGGACACCAAATATGCACGGCACTCCTACAGCGACATAAGAGAAGCAGTTCAATTTTTTTTAATGAGGAAACAAAATTCAGGCATATCAGAAGAAATAGAAACCTTAAGTATGCGAGAGAGAAAGAGACTACCACCAACCCAAGAACATATTCAGGAATGGACAGACCATCCTAAAAAAAAAACTAATACGGAAACTAACAAAAAACAAACAGGCAGCAACCTGATTGTAATCCAGCTGAAAGTACTCCAGATGCTGCTGAATTAGCAACTGCATCATAGTGGGTTGTATCGCCTCTAATCTACTGACAAGAAGTTGATAAATTAGCTTTCATGGAGACAAAGTACTATTTTATAAGATAACCAAAATACAGGAAAGTACCACAGCTCCGACGCATAGAATTGCATGATATTTTCCCAAACTTGCAAGCCTCTGTGCAGTTACACCGATTTCAAAACTACCAGGAACCCACACAACCTGAGGGAAAGGCAACAGCAATAATCAGGCAAGGTCATGTAAAATCAGCTGGTGGAAAAGCAAGAAACAAACATAAGACATGATATTTACTGAAGGAAGCCGAACGAATGCAGAGTATGTGTGTATGCATTTGTGAGTTTATTTATGTTACATACGTCAACATCCTCGTCTTGAATTGAGTAGTTGCTGAAAGTGGTCAGAGCTCCCTCTAACAGCTGCTTTGTTATAAACTCATTGAACCGCGCCACAACCTGAGATTTGACAAGATTTGGAAGCATTAAAAGATTTAGGAAGGCACTAAACATCAGAAGACTTATTAGAAGAAACATATATTTCGATTCGATTCGATTCGATAGTAAATAAGAGAAGAGAAGAGAAGAGAGTTAGGGAGGGAGAGAGGAGTAGTGACCACTGCGAAACGGAGGCCCTGAGTTTTGGTGACGGAACCCACGAGATGGCGAACAGCCGCTGTCTGAGCAAAAGACGAACGCTCCTTCCTCTCAATTCCGCCTGCAATCAGAAACAAAACCAAAATCGATTTTGCTTTGCCAAAAACCAGATAATAATAATACGAAATAAAAAAAGAAATGGTTGAATTATAATCTACTAAGAGAGAATAAAAAAAGTCAACCTCCTCCTATGGAAAACGAAGAAGAAGATGGCGACGAAGAAAGAGAGAGGGATTTGGGAATCTGAGACGACAGGAGAAGGCGTTGACTGCTGCTGCCGCCTCTGCCTCCGTGGGAACGACAAGTATCCGGCGGTGGGAGGAGGCGAGAGTTGAAACACCGTGTTGAAGCCCAAGCAGCAGCCATTTTCTTCCTTCAACTTTCACAGCAGCAGACGGATCTCTCAAGTGATTTTAGACTAGGTTACTGTTCAGTGTTCCCCCGCACCCCACTTTTACACCTACCCCAAAACGCTGCGTTTAAAATGCACTCTTTCCCCCCTCTCTCTGACACTTACGGTTTCCCCAACAAGGAAAGAAATTACCACATAAATAACCCTAATCAAATCAAACCCACCACCCCCCCCCCCCCCCGGCGACGTCCTGTGTCCTAAAACCCTAACTCCCAAAGAAGCCTCCGCTACAATGGCGACCATGCTCAAACTTCCGGCCGCCAATTGTGCGATTCTTCCTCCTCAGCAACAGAAGCGGGCGTTCTTGGCTGGAGCTGCAACCACCAGATTGGATGCGGCTACCGTCTTCACTGCTCGGAGGCAAACACTTTCATTGTCGTCGTCGTCAGCTGCAGCAACTGCAAAGGTGATGTCAGTTTCAGCCGTAGCCGGCCAAAGCATTGAGCTTGAGCAGTCTCCCTCCAAGAACAAGATTGACATTCCTATCATGGTAATGCTTTCCTTATCTTGTTCCTCGTTACTCTGCGATTCTAAATCAATAGCCTTTTTAGAAATGTCAATCAATTGCCGTCAAACTCCCAGCACCTATGATAATTTGCATGATTGGAACTTTGATAATTCAAATCAAAACTCCCAGCACAGCAGCTATGTTAGTGATGCCAAATTCCATGAATTTGTCTTCTTTTTGTCCAAAAGGTAAACGGATGTAGTGGCAAAATGGGGAAGGCCATCATCCAAGCAGCAAATTCTGCAGGACTCACCGTGGTTCCAGTTTCTTTTGGCTCCGCTGAAGAATCTGGCCAAACCGTCCAAGTTGGTGCAAACGAGATTCTAGTGCATGGTCCTCATGAAAGAGAAAGCACCCTTGCATCCCTTTTCCAGAAATATCCCAATTTGATTGTTATCGACTTCACCGTTCCTTCTGCGGTCAATGGTAAGTAATACCATAGGTTTGGAAAACTCTATATCGACGTTCTTTTACTTCAAACGTGTTTTCCTTTCCATTGTTGCTGGAAATAGTGCAGGTGATTCTGTGTCTTTATTCTCTTGGGTTTTTTTTTTTTTTTTTCGTCGTATCCAGATAATGCAGAGCTATATTGCAAAGTTGGAGTGCCCTTTGTGATGGGAACAACAGGCGGGGACAGGGATCAATTGTATAAGACTGTAGAAGACTCAAAAGTCTATGCAGTGATTTCTCCACAGATGGGGAAACAGGTGATTAGGATTTGGTACTTTAATGGTTTCTAATATTCTGGGGGCTTGCCTACTTTATCCTAATCGTTGTTTGGTATGAATAGGTTGTGGCATTTCTTGCAGCCATGGATATCATGGCTGAGCAATTTCCTGGAGCCTTCTCTGGGTATTCTCTACAGGTACTTCACTTTTCCCTTATAATTTGTTACTGATGCTAAATATAATATAAGAGAAAGTCTAATTATTTGATAAAAAGGTCATTTTCAGTATAATATTGACATTCATTTGACTGGTGTGCTACATTTTTCTGAAAGTTCTTTTATATGTTTTCTGTTCATATTGTCTGATGTGCCTTCTTCATATATTTTAAATTTCAGGTGATGGAATCCCATCAAGCAAGTAAAGTTGATGCATCTGGAACCGCCAAGGCTGTTATTTCTTGCTTCCAGAAGTTGGGGGTGTCCTTTGATATGGAACAGGCATGTTAAATGATACATGTTAATTATAGCTTTTGATAATTAGAAATGGTTAACTGTAGCATCTCTTTTTCATTTTGCCTCATCCGGTAAGTTTTATATTGAACACGTTAGACTCCTTATTAGTTTATTTTTCAAATTTGCGAGGAAAGTAGGCTTGGGTTACATATCATTTTCTTTGAGGTTAAGAAAGCATGGTCAGTCCCATTACATGAAGTACCAAATAAACTTGGATAACTCTTCTTTCATTTTTCATCCTTCATTATTTTATTTAGTTTTTCGATCTTCTGACAAATTTCATCAGATCCAATTGATCCGGGATCCCCAGCAACAACTGGAGCTGGTGGGAGTTCCAGAGGAGCATTTGTCTGGTCACGCATTTCATATGTATCATCTGACCTCACCTGATAAAACGTAATAAGAATATCCTCTTTCGCTGTCTCTCTTTCTCTCGCAGACAAATTTTCTTTTGTTTATAGTTGTAACTCTGGTCCATTGAATTTATTTCCCCTTTTGCAGAGTTTCTTTCGAGTTTCAGCATAATGTTTGTGGTAGATCAATTTATGCAGAGGGTACAATCGATGCTGTTATTTTCCTTGCCAACAAGGTGCTGAAACTTTTCCATCCCTCTTTTGCTTTCTTACTTGCTGCAGTGCTTATGATGGTTTTAAAAATGAAATTTTGGTCTTAAGAAGCGTAATATATTAACGAACTACTTTGACAACTGGAAAGAAGATTGGTTAAGTTCCTATTCAAATATAGTATATGATTTGGATACTCATCGGTTATTTGGCTAGAATATTGATAACGTATATTTGGTGATTAAGCTAGAAACTCGTAGGACCTTTTATGCAATACTTTACTTTTATGATATGAAATATTGTATGAATGCAGATTCATTCAAAGGCAGACAAGCGGATCTACAATATGATGGATGTCCTGCGAGAGGGTAACATGCGATGATAGTTGGCTTTGTACGAAGGGTGTAGTCTGGTGTAGTAAATTAACTAGTTTAAAATAATTGGATTCTGTTTGAGGAAAATGGGGACATAAGTTTCGGATTAGTAGTTTCGACCTTATCTTTGTCAGTTATTGTTTTCCTTCCTGCTAATGTTTTGTAGTTTGGTTGAAGGAAATATGAATATGTAAGTTTACGTTTATTTTCGAGATGCACCTGATATTGTTGGCCGATATGGTAGTGTGCACAGACAAGCTGATGAGCAGGCTTTTCTTGTCTTGGTTTGTCTTGATTCGAACACGACAGATGTGCTTGGCCGTTCGGTTAAGCACAGAAACTAAGTGATGGTTTTTGCTAGTGTTGTTCCTGCAAACAGGTGCTCTAGTTTGAGATGAGATGAGCTGACATAAAGCAGGCAGTAGAGTAGCGTGCTACTGCCTACTAGTAGTCCGAGTTACTAGGATGTATCGGAACGCAAAATTTGAAAGAATATCACCGGATCAATTAACCCAGAGCTGGTTGGTATGCTCCCATTACATTTACAGTTTTACTTGATGTTACAAGGTTCAATAGAAATATGAACCAACACCAAATAGGAGCAATGCAACCTTCAAATTGCAGCGCTTGGTAATGGAGAAGCAATGTGTCGTCCTTTGACTTTGGATTCTCTTTTGTTTTATTCGTTTTAATGGTAAAAAGTAAAAATATTTTATTTTAGTTAATGGTAAAAAATCATCCCGAAGAGGGAGCCTTGATAAATCACGGATTCGAGTTGTGATGGAAAAATCACGATAGGAAATGTTGGTTTTTTTTTTTTTTTTTTTTTGGTGATGGAAAAATCACGGATTCGAGCTGTGGAAACCATTGTTTTACAAACTAAGAGTAAAGATGCGTACGATAAAATTTTAGGAAAATTAATGAAAAATATTTGAAAACTTTGAGTTTTAATGATAATGATAAAATAAAAGGTAAAATGAATAGTATCATGATTGACATTTTAGTAATGTAAAAATATAATTTTTCGTTAAAGTAAACAGTACCGAAAGTTTTCGGTTAAAGTTCCCTAAAATTTCCCCCTTAAATCTTTGAGTTCCTTTTATGTTGGTTTGGACTCGTTAGCTCAGCATGGCTAACGGGCCCAAGCCCGAAATAATTAGCATTTCCCCGCAGAAAAACTCTGAAATATCACATTGACATTTTAGTAATGTAAAAATATAATTTTTCGTTAATGTAAACAGTAGCGAAAGTTTTTTGTTAAAGTTCTCTTAAATTTTCCCCGTAAATCTTTGAGTTCCTTTCGTGTTGTTTTGGACTCGTTAGCTCAGCATGGCTAACGGGCCCAAGCCCGAAATAATTAGCATTTCCCCGCAGAAAAACTCTGAAATATCACGTGGGCTCCCAAGAAAAAAAAAAAGGAGCCGCTTTCCCCGAACAGCAGTTCAACGGCGAGTGCGATGGAGACAATGGAAGGGAGGGAAGACTTGAAGTCGATACTAGAGTATCTGCCGGTGGTGGTACGGTCTTGCAGTCTGTTCTGGCCGCCGCAAGTGGTGGATGCTCTAAAGGTGTTGGCGGGAGGTCCTGATCAGAGTGGGGTGCATTCTGGGGAGCTGCTATTCATAGCCATTTCGGACCTCCGGCACTCTCTTTTGCTCTCCTCTCACCCCTTCGCTCCTTCCGCCCCATACGGCTACGCCCTCTTCTTCAATGAGGTCTTGCATTTCTGCAATTCATTCAATTTTGTACACTTTGACTTTTAATTTCCTTTTTCTGTTCAAGTGTTTGATATCCATAGCATTAGCATATCATCTGAATTCTGAATGGAAGGGCGTGGGCTGTGCAGCTCATGTCCAGGGGGGAAGCGAGGAAATGGTTTGGAGAGGTTGTCCCGGCATTGGCGAATTTGCTTTTGCGCTTGCCCGCTCTGCTAGAATACCACTATCAAAACGCAGGTGACCTTATCCATGGAGTCAAAACTGGCCTTCGTCTACTGGATTCACAAGAAGCAGGAATCGTGTTGCTCAGCCAGGTATCTATATCATCATTGTTGCTTGCAGTTGGTGATCATTATTTTGGCTTCTTATCTGAAGAACCATAGGCGATCGCATCCCAAAACTTCCCTTGGTTGTGGTATTACTTTACTGATTAATGTCCGCGTTGCTTTTCAGGAACTAATTAGTGCTCTTCTCGGGTGCTCGTTATTTTGTTTGTTCCCCACCAATAAACGAGGTGCCAGACATCTCCCAACCATCAACTGCGATCATTTGTTTGCGTATGTCATCTTTGATTTCTTATGTGGCACTTGTTTCTTCTAGTTTTTACTTTTACTTCACGTATAGTTGTAGTTAAATATACCTACCACCTCGAATGTATTTTCAGGGCGTTATATGACAGTTATAGTGAACAACAGGAGAATAAGATAAGGTGCATTATACACTACTTTGAAAGGATAAGTTGCCATATGCCTGAGGGTTTTGTCTCATTTGAGCGGAAAGTTCTTCCTCTGAAACATGATCCTTTAAGCATTTCTTACCCCAAGGCTAGTTTTTGGAGCAAGTCAGACATTCCTCTCTGCCGCTTTGAGGTAAAAGATGAGCAGATGTATTAAATAATAAGCCTCTAGTTACACACAGATCGATTGATTTCCCCTTTTCGTTCTCCTAGTCCTACTACATCTTTGCAGTTGCAATACCTTGCTAAATAGTCTTTTCATATCGTTCTAGGTTAACAGCTCAGACTCAGGCTTGATAGAAGATCAGTCAAGTGGGGCTCTTGAAGTTGACTTTGCAAACAAAAATATAGGAGGTGGTGCTCTTCGCAAGGGCTGTGTACAGGTATGGTTTGTGACTCTTTATATGTTTCACCTAAGTGTGCGTGCCAGCACTTTTAAACTGTATTTTATGTGTTACCTTTTCTTGGATCACGCAGGTGATGATATAGTTGCAGAAGCACCTAATTTTATTTGTTATTATCATCTCACGTAGGAAGAGATCCGTTTCATGATCAATCCTGAATTAATTGCTAGCATGCTGTTCATGCCTTCCATGGAAGATAATGAGGCTATAGAAATTATTGGTGCAGAAAGGTTTTCCGATTATACAGGGTGAGCGTTGATAACATATTGTTTGCTTATTTGTTTGTTAGACAATAATCACATATATTTTGATTAGAGGAGTTAAACATTTGTTGTTAATACACTATGAATTTAATTTGGTTCTGCTTTCCAATTGTCATTATTTCTTTTAAGTGGTGTAGGTATGCTTCTTCTTTTCGTTTTGCTGGTGACTATGTGGACACAAGGGATGTAGACTCTCTCAGAAGACGTAAAACCAGAATTATTGCAATAGATGCATTATGCAGCCCAGGGATGAGACAATATAAACAAGACTTCCTCCTCCGGTATGTATATTTTGGTTAAGCATTGACAGATTATATGAATCATATGGTATAGTCATGCTTCCAGAATAGAAACCCATCATCTACCTAGCCAATTTTACATTGCTTTATGGCACGATCCACCAACTCAGCCAAGCTAATAAATGCTGCATAAGAGAGTGGGAGGCTGGCCCTTGGGGACTTCGTACGATAATTTTTTTTGTGACTTAGGAAATGAAACTTCCATTCAACTATAGTCGAGAGTAGACCTGTCATTCGTGTCGTGTTTTCCGTGTTCGTGTCGTATTCGTGTCATACCCGATATCTTAACAGGTCGTGTAGTGTAACACCCATTAAAATAAACGGGTAAAATGACCCGACCTGAAATTGACCCGATAATATTAACAGGTAATATGATCCGACCCGTTACCCATTAAGGAAAATATATTTTAAAGCAATAAATAATCAAATGAAAAACATAATACTAAATAAGTATATACATACTATATTGTCACATTCAAAACATAAAAACGCAATTTTCTTTTAAGTATATTTTCACTTACCTAAAGTCTTTAATGGTTTTTTAATCAATGTAGAAGTGTAAAAAAATATAAAAAATATATATAAACGCTCATAATGACAAGTTTTACAACTTTCATAAAGAGCTTAACTTCGAAATTCACCACTATAATCATATAAATCATAGATCAAAATTTAACCGTTGATTATTGTTTACATTTACGCTTCAGTGTTCTTATCAAATTTTGTTTTTTTTTTTTTTAGATTTTCTTTTTTGAAAACTTGATCTATTAGAGGATGCAGGAAGATGAACGGTTTGAATCATTGATATTATATTCAGAGTTTTACGGTTAGTGAAAATATTGCTTGATGTTTATAAAGTTTCTACAAACTATATGACATCGACTCATATTTCAGTTAATCGTAAATATCGAAACGGGATATCAAAGATCTGAACCGTTCATCTTCTTACATCCGCCAGATGATCATGTTTTCAAAAAAGAAAATTTTAAAAATAAAATTCAGTAAGAAGAATAAAGCGTAAATGGCAATCAACGGTTAAATATAAATTTAAGGTTTATGAATTATAGTGTTGGATTTTGAAGCTGACCCCTTCATGAAAGTTGTAAAGTTTGTCACTATGAGTGATTGTATATTTTTTTTTACATTTTTTACACTTCTATAATAATTATTATTAATTTTATTAATTTTGCCCTCAAATAAAAAACATTATTCATGAAGGTTTGGAGGATTTTAAAAATCTAAACGATAATGTAAGTGTAACCATTATCTACTCGTAGAGGAATAATGATGAATCACGAGTGTTTATATGTTCTTTCACATTTTTCATACTTGTATGTATGTCTTCTTAGTTCTTTTCTATACAAATACTATATTAGTTTATGTTAATTTTGGATAACATGTTAAGTAAAATTTATCCTAATAATGATAATAAGGAACTCTCATAATAAAAATAAATAATGACTAAAACTTTTCTTTTTTAAAACTTATATTGAATAATAATACAAAACTATATATTTAATATAGAATATATTGTATATATTAATATGGCTATTGTATTTTATAATAAATCTTTTAGTAATTAAACTTTAAAATTATCAAAATATTTTTTTTCTTAACGGGTCGAAACGGGGTACCCACGTGTTACCCGTGTGTATACCCGTTAAGAACCGGCTATTAACGGGTTCTTAACGGGTCACCCAATAATGACCCAATAAGTTATTGTGTTGATCCGAAACCTGTTATTTTCGTGTCGTGTCACAGTATTGTGTCAGAAACTGCCGAGTCTAGTCGAGAGGAAATAAGTATCAGCAATCTGGTCCCTGCAACTTTGAGGAAGGCTTCAAGCATGCCAATTTATTTTTGTTAAATTACTCTTCACAAGCATAAAGTAGGACCCAAACCCTTGGTTTTCTTTCTTTGTTCAAATTCTAAATCCTTGCCTTCAATTTCTTGGTGATATTATGCTGGATTGTTGTCACACTTGAGTGTAGCTTTGATCTCTCCTACTTGTTGGCTTCAACAGGGAAACTAATAAGGCATTCTGTGGATTTTTTCAACAATCGAAAGATCAGCACAACAAGAGATTGTTTCGAGAGGATGGATGTTCTGGAGTTCAGCTTCATCCAGATGTTAAAGACTCCAGTGACATTTGTAGTGATAATCGTTTGGTATGAATTTTCTATCACTTTTATCTTGGTTTGTGTGTGTGTGTGGTTTTAGGTGATGTTCTACATTTGGAAAGGATATCTGCATTACTAATTTTAGCTGAGCTCTTAATGTAAAGTTTATATTTGGTTTAGCATTGTATACCATACTTAGGGTCTCCGTATTTAGATCTCGTACAAATACTCGGGGGACTTAAATGTAATTATGTAATAAAGGAATGGGCAAATATGTAATAAGTAAGGAGCCCTTATTTTATAAAAGGACTCCTCACCCTCACAATTAGGAGAGACTAATTCCTAGGCCCTCTTACCCCCTCTCAAAGCCTCACTCTCATTACAAGGCTCTCACATTCTCTCCCTCACCTCTCAAATAAATACAATAACAGTGTGGACGTAGTCCAAACCTTGGGGTGAACCATGATACATCTCGTGTTATTTACATTTCTTGCAGATTCACGGTCGGATTTACGTTGTTCCAAGACCTCCGGTTTTATGCATCAACATTTGGCGCTATCTATGGGAATTGATACGAAAAGTTGTGTCGGTTCTTTTTCATTTTTTCACCTCCGCCGTGGATCTGCAGAAAACCAACCAAACAATTCAACTCCCAATTCAACTTCTTAGCTTTTTTTAATTTCATAAAAGAAGTTTAGAATTGAGAAATGAGGTAAAAGCTTACAGGGTGGTTTCTTGGCCATCGCCTTGAGTCCCGGTGCTGACAAAGAACCCACCAGGCTTCCCAGCCAGGGTCTGCTCCTTCCACAACGACTTCGTGTTGAAGAACGAGTCCAAGGTCCTCTCGGGTCGGATCGATGACCTCCTTACTGTGCTGCAGCAGCGGATACAAGTTTTAAACCAGATCCTGCGTAAAGCGGGAGCCTTGTGCACTGGGTACGACCTTTAAACCAGAGGCTTTGTTTCCGGTCCATTTCCCCCAAAATGCTCACTCTTCTCATATTTTTGGTTCTCTTCACCGCTGGAAGTTGGAACGACGACGATGAATGCCACAGTTCTGCCTGACGTCATCCAAGTCGCAGATTACCATAATGGGAGCGATTCCGACACCAACATCGATGACGACGATGCATCCGCTATCGAGTTCTACCAGCCAGTCTCCGCCGTCGACTCCGAAGACGACGAAGACCAGATCGGAAACGATGCTGTCCTGATCCACTCCCAACTGCACTCCAACGGCGTCACTGTCAATCAGGTCGACGGAGGAATCTCGTCTCTCCAGCTAAACGACGACGTCGGGCGCAATGATCGCTTGAACAAAAGCAGCGACAACGAAGCGGAAGCAAAAGAAGTGGAGGAGGAGGTCGCTTCCGACTCAGAGATAATTAGGGCTTTCAGAGAAGACGAGAATCGCATAAACGCGCCGCTTACGGCGAAGAACGCGACGAGGGTCAGGGAGGCCATGCGTGGAATTTCCTTCGCCGAAGCTCCTCCGCATTGGGCGGGTCTGATCCCTGAGAACAACTGGATGGACCGCCTTCGCGGGCTCAGGCAATCTTCGTCTCGGAGGTGAAAATGTTTAATCTTTGTACCTCGTTTTTTAGGATTGTTGTGGTGGTGACTCGGGGTAACAGGGGGATTGGGTCTGAGATTTCGAAGCAGCTTGCGGCACATGGAGTTACTGTTATACTCACATCCAGAGACCGCAGTGTGGGGCCTGAAGCAGCTAAGGTCTTCCAAGAAGGTGGCCTCAATGTATTTCGCCATCAGCTCGATGTGCTAGACACGGCGTCCATCACTGAGTTTTGTGACTAGTTGAAAGAAAACTACGGTGGGTTGGATATTCTGAAATGATGAGTCTGGATGGCTTTAGTCGACCACCCACATGGATGACTTTTGTCGACCACCCACATGCAAAAGCAAGGAAAAGAAAAGGGAGGCTTCCCTGCAAAGCACATGCCATCCCACTACAAAGTCCCAGCAACAACTAGGCCGAAAGCAGAAAGTGAAAAGAAAAAAAGAAAGAAAGGCTGCATGTGAGTATATCTGCAGATGAAAAGAAAAAGCATGCATTTATCCCTCAGACAGCTCAACCACTCCCACAAAAGCAAAAGCAAAGCAGAAAGCAAAAGAAGATAAAAAGAAGCAGACATAATTGCGGTGGTGATGGCATTATGGGCGTGACCCATTGAGTAGAGGGTCGGATTTATTTTTTAATGATGTAATTTATTTTTCTTATCTTTCAGAGACATCTGTATACACCCCATCAGAGGGTAATAATAATAAAAAAAAAAAAAAAAAGGGCAAAGCCCAAAATAATGGGCTGAAATGTTGTGTGGAGGGTGAAGGCCCATGTGCCCAAAAGAGTCAGGCCCTCTATTACCACCAACTAGATGATTAAAAGTACGCCCAGTACTCTAAAATTATTTAGCAGCCTGCCGCTATTATCACCAACCAGGTAATCAAAAGTACGTCCAGTACTTCAAATTATACATGAGCATTACTCATGTCAATCATACATAAACATTCATGAGCATTACTCATGTCAATCAAACATAAATATTCATGAGCATCACTCGTATCAAACATACATAAACATTCATGAGCATCACTCATGTCAACATTCATGAGCATCACTCATGTCAACATTCATGAGCATCACTCATGTCAACATCTGTGAGCATCACTCATGTCAATCAGCTTCAAAAGCTTCATTTACAGAGCTCTAGCTTCAAAAGCTTCATTTACAGAGCTCTAGCTTCAAAAGCTTCATTTACAAAAGCTCTAGCTTCAAAAGCTCCATCTACAGAGCTCTAGCTTCAAAAGCTTCATTTACAAAAGCTCTAGCTTCAAAAGCTTCATTTACAGAGCTCCAGTTTCAAAAGCTTCATTTACAAAAGCTCTAGCTTTAAAAGTTTCATTTACAGAGCTCCAGCTTCAAAGCTTCACTTGCAAAACTTCACCTACAAAGCTTCAGTGCAGGGTATATAAATACCGCCCCCGAACAACCGCCACTTCGGCCCACACATGGATTCAATTTGAAGTCTCCAGCCAACAGACTCTATTGACCAAAGACTTGGGGGACTACATTATGTACCATATATTGGGCCTCAACTGGGCCTCATGAAAAATACTTGGGGGACTCTAGCCCATCATTCATGTATTGAGAAACAAGCCCTTATTCTATAAAATGGACTCCTTCACCTCCATTAGAGAGCATCAACTCTAGCCCATATTTATGTATTGAGTAGCGAGCCCTTATTCTATAAAAGGGAATCCCTCACCTTCATTAGAGAGCATCAACTCTAGCCCATTATTTATGTATTGAGGAGCGCGCCCTTTTTCTATAAAAGGGACTCCCTCAATTTCATTAGAGAGCACTCATTATTCATGTACGGAGGAGCGATCCCTTATTCTATAAAAGGGACACCCTCACCATCATTAGAGAGCATCACCGCCTATTGAGCAACCGCCTCGCCGCGAACATCACTCCTAACCCATCACTTATGTATTGAGGAGCGATCCCTTATTCTATAAAAGGGACTCCCTCACCATCATTAGAAAGCATCGCCGCCTACCGAGCAACTGCCTCGTCGCGAGGATCAACTCTAGCCCATCATTTATGTATTGAGGAGCGAGCCCTTATTCTATAAAAGGTACTCCCTCACCTTCAACGCCACAAGCTGAGCCAACCAAGGCAACATAAGCCACAAGCCGAGCAGCCTCGCAACATGTGCTACTTCTAGTTGAACATCACTTCAGATTGAGCACCGCTTCATATCGAGCATCAGTTCAAGACAACATCTTGTTACTTCGGCCCACATATGGACTGAATTTCAAGTCTCCAGCCAAAAGACTCTCTTAACTGAAGACTTGGGGGACTACTATTTATACCATACTTAGGGTCTCCGTATTTAGATCTCGTACAAATACTCGGGGGACTTAAATGTAATTATGTAATAAAGGAAATGGCAAATATGTAATAAGTGAGGAGCTCTTATTTTATAAAAGAACTCATCATCCTTACAATTAGGGGAGACCAATTCCTAAACCCTCTCACCCCCTCTTAAAGCCTCACTCTCATTACATAGACTCTCACATTCTATCCCTCACCTCTCAGATAAATACAATATCAGTGTGGACGTAGCCCAAACCTTGGGGTGAACCACGATACATCTTGTCTTATTTACATTTCTTGCAGATTCACGGTCGGATTTACGTTGTTCCAAGACCTCCGGTTTTGTGCATCAACAAACATCATCTGAACTTGCTGTTCTTGTACAAGAAATTTTGCTTGTTTGGCTTTTTACTTTTTACTTTTCTATAGTTGCAGGAAACTAGCGAAAATTCTGATGAGGTGTTTGGAGGACAATCTGTACACCAACAGATCAGAGATTCTGAGATGTCTCTGGATAATGAGGATGATGAAGTTGGGATTGCAACTGGGAATTGGGGATGTGGTGCTTTTGGAGGAGATCCTGAAGTGAAGGCCGTAGTTCAGTGGCTAGCTGCCTCTCAGGTAGTTTAATGTTATACCTTCAATGCAAATAAAGGGAGAATTTTGTGAAAAAGCCTGAATGGGATATATATATATATATATATATATATATATCATGTGTGAAATCTTTAGCTGACTCAGACAATTTCACGAGAATTCTAAGTTTTAACAATGATCAAAATGGATATAATTTCAGGCAGAAAGACCATTCATTTTGTACTACACGCTTGGCTCGAAGGCATTGCGAAACATAGAGCAGGTACATTCCCTCCACCCAGCTCGTGCCAAGCTTTTATGCCTCTGTGTGTATAGCATGTTTATATTTCACTTTCTGCGCTTTGTGGAGTAGGTAACTCGATGGATACGTTCGCATGAATGGACAGTTGGAGATCTGTGGAATTTGTTGGTGGAGTACTCAACGCAGAGATTGAAGGGAGAGACGGATGATGGATTCTTTACTTGGCTCCTTCCATCTCTATTTGCCCCTCATCATGATACCGATATGTTGGATTTGCCTATTTCGCCTTAAATAAAACTTGATGCCTGCGTTGTTTGTGTTGTATCGTCCCATATGGTCGCGTTATTTTTGTAAAAGGATTTCATTTTTCTTTTGCTTTGTTTTTCGCTGCACATTCTATTTATGGCATGGCATGGCATGCAGACGGCTTTCAGGCTTCAGGTACCGCGAATATTTGCCGGACCTTATCTTATGCTGCTACAAGAGGAGCTTAAAATTGAAGCCCTGAACGAACACCAATTATCCAAATGAGATCCGAAGCTGAAAAGAAATGATAAAATTTGATATGGGTGTCGTTATCTACACGCCGTTTTACACTTTTTACACTCTTCTCAATTTTCGTCGATCAGATCGAATGGTTTGAAATTGATCAAAGAACAAAAATTAACATGGTATGTGGAGAAAGTTAAAAGAAGTGTGTGGATAGCATCAAGCAATTTGCCGCGCTCGCTCCCTCGATGAAAGCAGGCATCATACGTAATATACGAAAGTTGGAAGACTGAAAGAGTGTATGTGGAGGCCCATGTAAGTTCCTCGTTGCTCTCGTGGGCTGGGCTTTTGATCTGTGGGCTTGGGCTTGGGGTTAAAAGGTCAAACAGTTACAAGTGGAAGCCTGCCTTATCTGATTCATTTGACAGTTGCAGTTGCAGCAGGCGCTTTGCGTTCTGCTGGTTGGGGTTTTGGGCTGCTGCGGCTGATGCAGAGGGTTTTGGTTTCTCCTCGTCATCATCGTCCCAAGCTCAGGTCAGCTTTCTTATCCATTCTTTTCTCTTCTTTTTTTAATTTCATTTTTTCCTTGGCAGACATGAAGGAATGAATTGGAATTGAATTTACACTATTCACTTTTGTCGAATAGATTTGCTATCTGCCATTTACCGACTGCTGTCAAGTGTTGAAAATGGCTCTGCAAACTACCACCGCACTTCCCTATCTCTTCTCCTCACCAAAACCCAACAACAAATTCTTCATGCTCCTTTCGTTGTCTCCTCATTCCCAGCAAACCCAAGCTAATCACAACAGAGTATGGATGAACACCGCTGCGAGTGTCCCAACACATGTCCATAGCTTCAACTTTACTAGATTGTATGCTTCTAAAACGTATAGCCAACAAGAGGGAGACTCTGATGATGATGATGATGATGATGAACCTTCTTCCGGTAACAAAGATGATCCCTATTTCATGGGTTCTCAAGAGAGACGTGAATGGAGAAACACAATTAGACGAGTTTTGGATACCAACCCCGCTGTTGAGGAGGAGTTAGACCCTAGTGAAAGGACAAAGAAGGTGCAACAACTTCTGGCCAATTATCCTCTTGTTGTAGAAGAGGAGGATCCTGAATGGCCTGAGGATGCGGATGGCCGCGGTTTCAAGTTGGATCAATTCTTTGACAAGATTACCATCAAGAATACGCCAAAGAAGGATGACGATGAGAATGATGACAGCGACAGTGAAGTAGTGTGGCAAGATGATAACTACATTCGTCCCATTAAAGATGTATCAACTGCAGAATGGGAAGAGACTGTTTTCAAGGACATCAGCCCTTTGATCATTCTTGTACACAATCGCTATAGAAGGTCTGGTTTTCCATCTCTCTTACGATTTCTTTCCTGCTATGTTATGTTACCTTGTCCCTTCTTGAAATTTATGATTTCAGCGCCTTGTTTCAGATATAGTTCGTTATGAGAAAATTGTTTTGATTAACACTTTCCCCTCTCTTCAGACCAAAAGAGAACGAAAAAATTCGGAATGAACTGGAGAAGGCTATACACATCATATGGAACTGCAGGCTACCTTCACCAAGAGTAAGTCTACACCCCTACTGTAATAGTCTACTTGTGCTTAGTACCCTCTCAACCCCCCCCCCCCCCCCCTCTTTTACTGATCATTATGGCTAATATTTATTTTTCATGTTTAACAGTGTATTGCAGTTGATGCTGTTACTGAGCATGATTTGGTATCTGCTCTCCAAGTGTCTGCCTTCCCTGAGATCATCTTCACTAAAGCTGGGAAGATCTTATATCGTGAGAAAGGTAATTGTTATTTTAAAACATGGGCGTTTTGATTCTTGCCTCCGAATTGCAGCATGATTTCAGCTCCATTTTTATGTCGTCTGTTCAGAAATTCGAAGTGGAGATGAGTTGTCAAAGGTGATGGCTTTCTTTTACTATGGAGCAGCCAGACCACCTTGTTTGAATGGCATTGGAGATAGGCAGGAAGCAATTCCATATGTTCCCGTCAGCTCCCAACCATAATTTTGGTTGTTGGAAAGTTTTCCTCGTAACAGATATTCGGGCTAAAAGCCATTTAGTTTGGAACTCCTACAATATTAATACCAGGACAAGTAGGCACAGAGCAAGGCAATGCCAATACCTATTCACGCTTGTAGCCGTAGCATCTCTTCCTTGTCGCTCTCTCTTTCTCTGTGTATATATTGTTGGTAATTCCTAACAAGACATTATATTGTTATATATAACAACACTCTTTTCTTGTTCTTGATGTTATCAGATGCCTTTGTTTTTAATTTGATTGATGGAATTTAACTTGCAGTTCTGTATTGGCTTTTAAGTAGAATATAAGACTTAGCCGGTATTAGGCTTAGGCTGGCCTTCTTTCTGAGTCGAATTGTGGACACTGGACATGAAGAAGTTTCGATCGGCTTATTAGGCTTCATTAAATCAAGGTTAAGAGGGAGTGAAACTCATCCTAGACTACAGAATGGTCTGCACAGCTTCACTTGATAAATTCGGACATGCATTCTAAGTACTAAACCAAAATCACCACAGCGCTTCGCCCTCACCTCGCTGACTCGAAACAACCATTCCATGTTCCAACTTCCAACTTCCTACCAACCAGTAAAACTGACAGAGAGAGACAAGTTTGATTCTCAAGTATATGCCGTTTTAGCCAAGGGAATGATGCTTGGCATATTCCTTTTTATACATTATTCAATGTCAGAATACCCAGTGCAGGCTGAATCTGAAGCTCTAGGTTTTCTACCATCTATCTTTCTCCTTATCACTACTATACTAGTTGTTTTACTGCTTGTTTATATGGAGGCACTATTTTGCCAGACTTGTGCGCGACCGAGCGGCCTATCGAGTATTGGTGGTGGTAATTTGCAGCAGTGGATATGTTTGTTGCTGGTCACCTAGTTATTCCATGGTTCCATCCATCTGCTGGCTTCAATATATAATTTGTGTTTGTATATGTTGTATATATACATGCAGTATTGTATATTTGACCCATGGCGGACGTTCTGATTAGATGACCATCAACGAACACATTCATGATGCAAGCAATTTATATCTATCTCTCCTGTTCTGTCTCACCATCTCATCGATTACTGGCTTTACAGTTACAGCCATAAAACTAGCTAAGCTTTTCTCTAGCAGTGTTTGTTTAAGTTTTGAAAGTTCCTGTTCCTTTTTATAACTTCTATATACATACATATATATATACACACACATATTATATGTAAATGCTTATGTTTCAATATATATTCGAACGAGGAACATGTATAACTTCAACTCCTTGTATATATACATTGCATATTCAACCGCTAGTAATTTTCCAGGAAAATTATATACGAGACGAAAGCAGAGAAGAGATAGATACAAGAAGAGAGCAGACAGCAGAGGTACCTCTTACAACATTCAATAAATCTGTGATTGAAATAATCAGCACTTTGAGCTCTGAGGTACAACATTGCTAATTAGCTTTAGCTAGCTACTGCTAGGCCTAGGCACCACCACTGATGCACGAGAATATTCGTCTATGGCCCTGAAACTGGACAGGTTGCCTTTGAGGAGGAGAATTAATGGAATCATCAGCGTCCACCGATGACGAGAATCCTTGCATAGAGTTGGAAGCAGAACCGAGAGTAACAGATTTGTGTCGGCGGTGTTGAAACTGACGACCACCATGATTGGTAATGTTTGTGGTTGTGGACGACTGATCCCGCGGGGCAGATGTACCGTTGACATTATATATCGTTGGAAGATGATGATGTTGATCAGCTGAAGGTGCAGGTTGGGGGACAGAGACGTAACTGTTGCGATCGATGTAGAAGTCAGCGATGTTGTAATGACTAGTTTGACCTGATACCGGTGGTGGTGGTGGTGGTGGTGCTGCTGCTGCTGCTGCTAATGAAGCGGAGGAGGAGGAGAGGCAGATGTACTGGCGACGAGTTCTGTTCCCCTTCATTGCCTTGTAAACCAGTGGGATTAGACCCTCCATAATTATAATTACCTATTGGATCTCCTCCAGTCTAGTCTACTCTAATGAAGCTTATCGATCGATCCGTATACTCTCTTAGGCTGTTGTAGGCTCCAGGTAGCTCAAGAGAGAAGAATACTCTTTGCAATAATATATATATATATATATATATATATATATATATATATATATATATATATATATTATAAAGAAATGAAATCGCCCGTCGCCAGCTGGCCCTAATTAAATATAAAAAATAGATAGATAAGTGTTTGGTTTGTTTTGTGATTCATTGGACCAAGTCCCACGCGCCAGTTTTTATATTTGACTTCATACTTGTACAATAGGAACCAGGATCTTGAGCAATTTCCTAGGGATCCCGTAATTTTGTCTGTTCATTTTATATCGTACGGTCAATTTTCGTTAGGTACTATTCATATTTGAATTTTAAAATTTAAATTTTAAATGATTTCTGACCGCACGATATATGATGAACGGACAAGATTGCGGGATTCCTAGGGAATTGCTCAGAAGATGATCCTGGTTCGTAGAATAGAATGGGAGAAAACTTCTTTCTTTTTTTTTTAATTTTTTAATTTTTAAGGAAACGATAGATGTTATATATTAGGAAATGTCGTTACAAAGTTCGCTCGGTTGGAGAGAAATCTGAACACAAATTTTGACCTTAGGGGGAGAGTCTAAGGTCCGGAGACTGGATCAGATCATTCCACACCAACCAAAACACAAAAAACCTTCTCTATTCCATCATCTGATTTGTCATGCTAATCATGGCTCGTTTAGGATCTCACCCCACTCTCACGACACCCTGCTCCGCGCACCGCACCCAATACCATCTCCATCCCAAGGGCCAAGACCTTTTCATCCCATCACAATAATAAGTGGAAAGGGACATAATACAATACTACACAAAGGCTTTACATTTGTGTATTTATAAATTCATTCTAATTAGTTAATGAACAAAAGATAGAGAGAAGAAAATGAACGACTCGTGAAATGTTCGTCAAACTGAATTTATTCATCATCACTAGAGTATGGAGTAATCGTTTTATCATCCTCCTTTATATTTTGGAAAACAAATTAGCTAGCTAGTTGTATGTGGTCTAATATCATAGTGGATAAGGTGTTGGGTTTTTACTTATGCGTCCTAGGTTTGAAACTTCCTCCTCCCTCTATCTTAATAGTTTCGAAACTTCCCCCTTAAGTTAATATTAATAATATTTTTAAAATAAAAATAATAAGAATAATAAGAATAATATAAAAATAAGCTAGCTAGTTTTAAACTTGCTAATTTTTTGCAGCTGCCTCTTGCCTCTTAATTATCTATAATCTAATCTAATATGCAGATTGCAGGAGAAGGAGGGTATGTATGAGATGTAATTGTAGTATTACTATACTCTCCAAGTATCTATTTACTTGTACAACACGCAAAACCAACTTTGAAATGTGATTAAATAAATATTAGTCTCTTAAGTATCTATTAGTTTACTTGGTCCAGTCCAGCATACATAGGTTTTTGTTTTTCTTCCACCCACCCGCCCATTGGCATTTGGCCCCGTTTGGAATTTCGCCGATTGCCTGCCCTGCCTCCCTGCCTTTATTTGTTTGTTTGGCAATGAAAGACATCACACCATGAGTCCATCCAAGACCAAGCAGGCAGTACAGTAGCAGTAGCGAGTAGCCACCTTTCTTATACTTTTACCATACCTTTTCAACTTTTACCATTCTTAAGCTTCCTTCCCTGTAACTTAGAAAAGAAAAACTCACAAATATGCCTGCATTCGCAGAATTTGAAACACCTCAATTAAATTGAATCGGAGAGAATTTATGTCATACATAACTCAAATTATAACAACTATGGATACAACAGTGCATGCAAGCGGTAATATTGTTTCTCCATTTCCCCCTGCAGGAAAAACGAAACAAAAACAACCACTTTGGACCGGTCAAGGATTGTCGCACTTGCTCTACTGCAACTAGTAACATACCAGAGAAGAGATCAGAGGAAGTAATCTGTGTTATGCATTGAACAGCTCATTCTTGTAGCACTGACTCCAATCTGAATCCCCTGAAGCAAGCAACCCCCCACCGCCATCAGTGCTTATCGACTCAGCAGTAGCACACACTCTTGATGACAACTTAGGATGAATGCCGCCTCCTTCATCATCCAAAACTTCTGCCGTCCACAACTTAAAAGTTACATTCTCATCTTCTTCCCCTACCTGGACATTGAGTTCAGGACTTTGACTTGCTTCTTCCTTTTTTAATGGATCTTTGCCGCACCCATTAATATCTTCCTCTTCATCGGATAAACATCTGCAGCAATCATCTTCATCCATATCGTAGATACGACTCATTAACCCTTCTCTCCATGATATCCTCATCTCCGATTGTGATATATTCTCTAGTGTAGAGTTGGAGAGCCAGGAAGCGCGATCATCCAAAACTTTATGCAATTGACTGATTGAACCGCAAGCGGTGGTTAGACATTCAAACTGGAAACTGGATTCAATCTGATCCTCAATCAGTGCATGACTGTTCGTCTCCGGGGACAAGCTTGCCATCTGAATAGCTTCAGCCACTGAACTCAGTTCAGAATCAAAGTAGTGTTTCCTATGATTTTCTATACTCGAGCCTGATAGAGGAGTACGGATAACATTGCCACTGTCCAGTGAAAACATAGAAAATGGAGAAGTCTCACCGTCATAGTCATAGTGGTGTTTTCTCTCCTCGTCCAAGGTTACAGCCTCACAACAAGGCGTGCAATGTGGAGAAGCCAAAACACCAACATGCTCATTTACGGGCTCCAGAACTTCATGAAAACTAGGAGAAATTGGAGTTCTCCTCCTGCTACAATTAGTAGTACTTCCCGTGTTAGTTTTTTCACATACATCTGAAGAAAATCCATGACGACCTGAGGTTGAAAATGGAGAATAAAGATTCACGGAACCTACAGAATTCTGTAAGCTATTATCGGAATGCTCCTTGTGATCCTCATCCCCTTCATCACACGGTGACAAAAGCCAATGCATTGAAGCTTCAGTAGGTAAAGGAACAACCCAAGCATCCAGATTGCCAACAACCCCTTTGCCAGTTCCATCAACATGACCATCACCTTCATCATCTGCGTCGTCGGCATCATCCTCAAAGCTGCCTAAAGCCTTCCCTTTACTGAAGCCCGAATCATTCTGTCCTACACTGAGAATTCCTTTAGCTCTGCACTTCCTCTTGTCAGTGATCCCTGAAAGGACATGACCAGCAGAATAACAAGCAAGCTTGCTCGTGGACACCACAGATGATCCGCATTGTATCTCTGGAGATACGGAGGCCTGAACTGGTGGGGTTCTACTATTAGATTTGTCAGAATTCTCGAGCACATCCTCATCCTTATCAGCCTTGGAGTCCAAACCCAACCCAGTCGGTATCTTACTCAAAGGAGTAAAATTTCCATCAATACCATCTGATTTGAGCTCAGTGGGCTGACCTGCATTGCCCACCACCCTTACAATTCTACCTTCCACCTCAGACCCAGATTCTAACTTACTCAGGGAATTTCCATTTGATTTTGAAACTGAACAAGTTTTCGACTTTGGTCCACTTCTAGAAGAATTATTCTTAGATTTACTTGCATTTCGTGAGGTGGGTTTCTCTGGGTTTTCCAAAGCATTGAATTTGGAACGGTTATCCTTGGATTTTGATGGTCTTGTAGGCCTTACAGCAGGAGCTGATTTAGGGGTTTTGGAGAGAGTTTTAGGTGTGTAAAGAGGGGTTTTTGAATTAGAGGAAGAAGAATGAGAGAGAAGGAACCTGAGGCAACCTCGCGGGGCTTCGACCGAGATTGAAGAAGAAGCGTCGCTGCCAGTGTTGCTAGTGCCAACGGTGACGGCATTGAGATCCCGTAGTGGATCTCGACGGCTCTGCTCCTTTTGCTTCTTCTTCTTGTTCGCCGTCGCCATTGGCGGGGCCGGAGTGGCTTTCTTGGCGAGCTTTGACGACAACGATCGGTTCATAGCCTGTGGTGTGGAGGCCGTCACTCAGCAGATCTGAACCAAACCAAATGATTTGAAAATCTGACGGAGGGAGGGACAAGGGAGGGAAGGTGAAGCAGTAAAGGGGAGAGATTTTTCAGAGACCGAGGAGGGAGGGTAAAACCGCAAAGGGGAGTGTAAGTTTTCAGAGGATACTCTCTTCCTAATTTCAATCCACAAAGTTTGGAAATCTAGACCGATAAAATTTGATTAAACGATTATAAATAAGTATCACTTTAAAAGTGATAATAATTTTAACTGTTAAATCAAATTTTAACCGTTAAAATCCTTGAATTTAATGGATTAGTAGGAAGGGATTCTCACCGTAAGTTTGTAACGGTCTGATCCTAAAGGTACAGGTGTGAAAAAAATTTCAACCATTGACAATTAGTGTACCGTGTTTCCCGTACTCTAAAAATTTTCTTTGTAAAGGAAAAGGTCATCTTCATTTGACCAACATGCCCATTTATTACTGACATATTTTCTGAAATGCCATCACTTTACCGAGTGCGGCTGAGTGGTGCTTCCTATAGCTTATGACCCACGCCGACAGCGATCAGCTGATCAATATAACGCGTAAAATAAAAGCGGCAGTGAGATCAGCTTTCACGCCACTGCAGAGCGCAGAGCACGAACAAACGTGCAATTCGAATTGAATCATCCCAATTCCCAACCATTTTAATTGGTTCTCGTACGATCAATCCAATCCAATCCAGAAAGTGGTTTCCTTCGACTGTTGGATTGATCCAGACTTTCAGTTTCAGCATCAGCATGGCAGACGGGGCAGAGAGGGAAGCCAAGAAGATCATCATTGACACCGACCCTGGTATCGGTAAGTTGGGATGCTATCAATTTCTTTTCTTTTCTTTTCTGTATGTTTTGATTAATCTGTGTTTTATGGGGGAGGGGATCAGAAAATCAAGGGAGGATTCTGAATTTGTGTTTTTATGCCGTCTGCGCATGCAGACGATGCCATGGCCATATTTGTGGCGTTACAGTCCCCGGAAGTGCAAGTGATTGGAATTACTACTATTTATGGCAATGTTTATACCACTCTCGCCACGAGAAATGCCTTGCATTTGGTAATCTTACAACATCTGCTTTTTCTTTCTATCTCGCTTTGCATTAGGCATTTTGTTGACTGTCTTGGTTGCGTACTTGTACTTCGGGTTTAGTTGGAGGTTGCAGGGAGAACCGATATTCCGGTGGCTGAAGGATCTCACGTCACAATAACTGTATGTTCTCAACCCATGGCTCAACTTCTTCTTGTCTTCCCCCTATTGTTTTCTGCCTTGAGCTGTTTTTCGGTTTTGTAGTGTCTTCATATCGCATTTGTTTACGGGGGTTGTATTCAATTGAGAATTTGAGAGGCTTTAATGAATTTATAAATCCATGAATTTTTATGGAGTTTAATTGATTCGTAGAGATTCCATATATAATTTTGATTCAATTCCCTCGAAATCTCATGGGAAGAGGTGAGATTTGTGGATGCTTAAAATACACTACGAAATCTCTCAAATTCCCTCTAATTCCTCAACTTTCCCAAATTCTTTAAAATCAATTTCTAATTGAATACACCTGAAATGTTATAAACTTCTTTAAAATCCTAATTGAATACACCCGGATTTCTAAGTATTTTAATAAACTATCTTAAAATTCTAATTGAATACGCCTCGAATTTCAAAGAATCACTTAAAATCTTGATTGAATACCCATAGATTCATTAAAAGAATTAAAATCCCTCAAAATCCCAATTGAATACACCATCCTAAACCAGTATGTTAAGCCATTTTCTTGCATGTATTGACAGGCTACTGTATGTTAAGATTCATAACTCATCAATTATTTCATCTTTTTCCATGAAAAGAAAGGTACAAAACTTCGCATTGCTGATTTTGTTCATGGTGTGGATGGACTTGGCAACCAAAATTTTCCCCCACCAAAAGGAAAGCCAATTGAACAGTCGGCAGCAGCTTTTCTGGTTGAACAAGCAAGCCTTTACCCTGGAAAGGTCACTGTGGTAGCATTGGGCCCTCTTACAAATATTGCACTGGTCAGATTCTTGATACGTTGCATGGTTTTTTATTTTCAAAATTATTTTTAATCGTTTGTAATACAGTACATCCCTTTATGTAGGCTACTCAACTAGACCCTGCATTTGCAAAGAACATAGGGCAGATTATTCTTCTTGGCGGTGCTTTTGCAGTCAATGGGAATGTAAATCCAGCAGCAGAGGCCAATGTAAGTTGCTTAAACTATTTGCATCTAAGATTCGAATTTTTAAAGACTTCAACTTGAGTTTCTGCAACTCGCTTTACATTCGGAAACCAGATCTTTGGGGATCCAGATGCTGCAGATACGGTATTTACATGTGGAGCAGATATTTTGGCTATGGGGATTAATGTGACCCATCAAGTTGTCTTGACAGGTACTATGTTGCAAAATTTGTAGTCCTTCTAACAAGTATACTTCAGATTTGGGATTTCTAGCACAGCCTTCGAGAACACTTTTCGCAGAGCCTTTAAACCTCACCAGGAGTTCAATCAATTAGCCTGTATGTAAAAATTCCACAAAATCCACTTCCTTGTATAGTTCTTCTGGAAATCCTAAAATACACCTCCTGGAATCCATGCCGGTAATTTGCTGTTTTGTGCCAAATTGATCATTTCTCTGGATAAAGTTCTGGTATCAGTGAAAGCAGTATGTTGGAAATGGCCGCTTGATAATTAAAATTCCTTTAGGAAAACTTCATATTGTTGGAAATTATATATTATAATATGAAATATTGTAATATATAATTTTAATAATTGAATGAAAAATAGTGTTAACCAACATCTTAGAACGGTTATGTTGTTTAAGTGATATTCCCTTGATAAGTGATGTATACTTATAGTGAAAAGTTACATCTCTTTAATAAGTAGAAGTTGGATTCTATATAAACCCATGAAACCATTGGTATTAGATATAGAAAATTAGAGTTAATTTTTACTCTTGAGAAATAGCGTTTCCCCACTTTGTTTCTTAACTGATTTGTGTGTCAAATTCCGAGTCGTGTCTTGAGAGTACGGAATATATAAAGTTCGCCAAAGTCCGAAGATTGAAGTGATTTGACTTCGGATTATAGATTGTTGAATCCTAGGAGATAGACGCCTATCGAACTACAAGCACAAGAGTAGGGGCGAAATTCTATCTTTAGGACATTGCATTTATGCAATCCTCAATCTCCAAGTTTGTTAGTTTTTCTAACTTTATCTCTAATTGTTTATATTAATCTTATATATAATTGATGTTATGAATTTTTTTATGATTATTATCATTGGAGTTATATTGTTATTTATCATATTTTCTATTATTGCTCCAACAATCTAAAGATAGAACTTTATCTCTATGGAACAATTAGAAGATATGGATGTGAGAAATTAATCTCATAATGTAGAAAGACTTACATCATAATATGTTAAATGAGTCTAGCCATCATTTGCCATCATTTGGAGGAAAGAAACATTTCTCTAATATGGAGAGAATTGTCGCTGGCTTTGAATACAGAGAAAGAAAAGTGAGAAATCATGATGATACTCGGGTGGATATTCATATATATATATATATATTATCAGTTGATTGAAATATGATGGGTGGTTTCTTGCATCTGCTTATACTCACTAGTCATGCAATTGGTTTATGTGTTTTACATATGATTGATATTTGTATGTGTCGATACATTATTAAATACTTTAAACCCAAGATATGCATACTAGTTGTACACCGTTTGAGGAACCACTAGACTGAACCATGCACATTGGTTGTTTTGTGGTAATTTATAGCATATATGTTAATTTATATTATGTTTCAGTGATTAGTTTTAGAACTTTATATATATGGGGCAATTTTTATTCAACTACATTCACCTCTCCCAGACCCTGCGTAAAGCGGGAGCCTTGTGCACTGGGTACGACCTTTTTTAGTGTCAATATCTAGATGGAATTAAGCCACTCAATTATACTTAAAACATGTAGATAACTTCCCAACAGCACGGTTATTCATGAACTTGGTTCATGCAGAGTCTGGAACTCATACCTGTTCATGAAAAAGTACATATTTGTATATACTGACGATCAGTCATTGGACTGGTATCCTTGTGTCAAGGCCTATAGGAATTGGTATGATTGTAGATGATATGAAAATATATCTCTACATATGCATTACTTGGCGGAAGGGCGATATGCTGGAAAGGCATGACCATTTTTGTAATCGCCTGTTTCTTTGAAAAGACAAAAATTCAAAAGTAAAAATTTATGGGCAAATGCAACACTTGACGAAAAGGTGTTAGTAGTTTGTATGGGAATTGTTTGGGTGTTTTGGACAACAAAAAGTTCTGGAAAACAGAATTCCATACCAAACGGTTATGTTTGCTAAATAGATGGATGAAAATGTATGACTGTTCGTTGACACCGCATAGGCACATGCATATCCTTACAAGTAAGATTTTACTTATGTGGGGCATGTCATGGAGATCCATCTAAATTTCATATTTGGTGTGGTTATGATTTTGGTTACCTTTTTAGATTGTAACCGAATGGTACCGGTTGAGTAGCATCATTCAATTAGTTTGAAATGCTAACGGGATGGAGTTGGAATGGTGCGATGAATATGGTTATCCCATATTGAAATCTGGATTGCAGACATGATTCAATATAAATTAGGCCTTTGATTTTTCTACCAAAGGGAACGTAATGGTTGCTTGATTCTAAATTGAAATGACCATGAATTTTTATATATTTATGAGGAAATATCATGAATGTGCAGTTTGAAAGGAGCTGTGAAAACACATGCAGAAAACCACACAAGAAGGTGCTGATGTGATTATTTTTACAAGCCGGTTGCAACTATTTGCAAAATTGTGTTATTAGTCTATAGAGAAGCAGTTTTCAGACTAATAATTGGCTCTAGACACTAGCGTTGCTAGTAATTACTAATTAGAGTGGTGTTAGAATTGCAAAGAAAGTGAGACTAATACAAGTACTAGCAAAAGAAGACGATCAGTTTTATGATAAGTATCATAAAAGGAATCTTGCGGTGCCCATGTTAGTCATGGATGAAACCAAAGGAAATTCCTTTGAAAGGAATTATACACTGGAAGTGTGGGGGTCTTATGAAAAGGAAAAGACTAGACACTCAATGTGAGAGGAATAATACATTGGAAGTGTGGGGGTCTTTGAGAAAAGAAAAGACTAGACACTAAAATGTGGGATATTTGGAAAAATGTATTATACCTGATGATGTTTATTAAGTAAGCATATGAATGATAATGCACGTATTATATTGGCTTGTCAAATAAGGCAAAGAACAATGTCTAAATTAGGAAGAGTAATTTGCATTTAAAAGAGATAATAAGCAATATCTCTTATTATGGATAACTTGTTTAAGGTATGGCAAGGTTAGATACCTTCTTACAAATACCTTAAATGTGGGGGAGTTTACCCAAGTGTTAGCAAATTACATAGTAATTAAGTCCTAATATAATTTAAGGACTTGACATTTCAAACAATGTCAAACAACCACTCTTATATGAAATACAATTTCATAAGATGGATTGTGCACACCATTAAAAATAGTCAACCTAGTAGTGGATCCAATTATTAAAGATTAGACTAGAGAGTAAGTTGATCATCGAGGGGAATGAGGCTCAAGCCAACATAACTAATGAATCAGCCGAGCGGAAACCTAACTTAGTTGATTGGAGATCCCATGGTTTAAGTTCAATAGGCAAACTGGTTGGGCATGATTCAAAGAAGTTAACACACTATATACCTCATTCCTATGGTGGAAGAAGTGTGTTGTCTGCAGAAGTTTAGGTTGTATATTTATACTTAATGACAATGATATCTTATAAATAAAGAGGAATAGAGCAGACTATTCTTAATCAGTGGTCACCTATGTGAGAGTAGAAGTGGGTCGCTTCTATGAGAATGAGATGGCTAAATTCTCTAAAGCTCTCATAAATCCGGGATTTGTTCATGACCAAAATGAACACAACAGTATGAACCGGAATATATTAGGATTAGTGATGTGTGTTGCTTATTGTCTCGGTTTACTACTGCGGTGAACAGTTCAAGATTTTATATTCACTGCTTCACCAAGTAAATCTGATAAGTATTCACTAGGGTAGGTTCAAGTCCAAAAGACACCTCTCCCGATGCATCTCTTGTCCGCCTGTACTCTCAAATTCTTCCTAATTTTTCATTTATGTGGGGGATTGTTGGAAATTATATATTATAATATGAAATATTGTAATATATAATTTTAATAATTGAATGAAAAATAGTGTTAACCAACATCTTAGAATGGTTATGTTGTTTAAGTGATATTCCCTTGATAAGTGATGTATACTTATAGTGAAAAGTTACATCTCTTTAATAAGTAGAAGTTGGATTCTATATAAACCCATGAAACCATTGGTATTAGATATAGAAAATTAGAGTTAATTTTTACTCTTGAGAAATAGGTTTTCCCCACTTTGTTTCTCAAATGATTTGTGTGTCAAATTCCGAGTCGTGTCTTGAGAGTACGGAATATATAAAGTTCGCCAGAGTCCGAAGATTGAAGTGCTTTGACTTCGGATTATAGATTGTTGAATCCTGGGAGATAGACGCCTATCGAACTACAAGCACAAGAGTAGGAGCGAAATTATATCTTTAGGACATTGTATTTATGCAAGCCTCAATCTCCAAGTTTGTCAGTTTTTCTAACTTTATCTCTAATTGTTTATATTAATCTCATATATAATTGATGTTGTGAATTTCTTTATGATTATTATCATTGGAGTTATATTGTTATTTATCATATTTTCTATTATTGCTCCAACACATATTACATAAATCATTGTAATCCAGTTTATTTTACTTTCATTATGCTACATGAAGATGCTGATCGAGAAACGCTGGCAATGTCAAATGGAAAGTTTGCTCAATACTTGTGCAAAATTTTAGATGTGTACTTCTCCTACCATCACGATGCGTATAGCACAAAAGGTTAGTTCACTAAAGTGTCGATGAAAGCCAAATGGAATGAAATTTCCTTAAATTTTGGACATACTGATGGTTGATTTAATCATGGTGTAGGAGTTTATCTTCATGATCCTGCAGTACTTGTTGCAGCCGTTAATCCTTCACTTTTCACTTACATGGAGGGTGTTGTTAGAGTCCAGACAAATGGCACAAGAGGACTCACAATTTTGTACAACAAACAGAAAAGGTAGAGCCCTTCTATTCGTGTTCCAGATAAAGGGTAAAACGGTAGCCTAGTAGAGGTATACCATTGTTTTATATGCATCTAAATCCTGTTGATATATTTCTATGTAACTAATGTCGATACATATAGGTTTGGTGAGGTGACGGAGTGGTGTGATAAACCCACAGTGAAGGTAGCAGTGACGGTTGATGCCCCCACAGTTGTGAAATTGGTTATGGAACGGCTCATTGAGTCTTGAAGTGCTCTGCTTAAGCTGCACATGCCGCGGGTTTGAGCCTCAAGGACTTGGCTCCAGACTCCAGCTGGTTCGTGTTCGTCACTGCTGTTAGGTTGTGTTGTGCTTGCTTGTTGTTTAAGGCATCCTGTTTGTATACTTCTGCAGCACTATCATGTACAATTAATCATGTGCTTCGTACAATTGTGAGAATAAAATGGTTTCTAGTCTGTTTCTTTGTGTTGGTGGCAATAGTTTTTCGTGGTGACAAGTAATTAATCATGGAAGCGGGTATGAGTTACGAGAATGAATATGTGATATACAACTCCCGTAGTTATCCCATATATACCTTTGTTTTGCAACTATGTCACCACGTAGGGTATGATGATGTGGTAACAATTAATCATTTCATTCATTTGGTTGTTAATAAATGCAAATGATAATTCGATCTTATAAATCTATTCCTTACAATTAAACACGCTCAAACTATATATCAACCTAAATATTAATGCTTAAAAAATTAAAATAAAAAACTCTAGCTGGTGGATTCGTCATGTCAATCTACCATTTCTATGGCCGGAATGACTTACAGAGGCATTTCAGCCTCCCTTTGTCACCATTGTATGATTCACGAGTGCCTGTAATTGAACCTAGTGTCATGTGAAATACAAGCTTGAAATCCATTCCCAACTACTAGACCAGGTGATCACACCACCACCTTTCATGGATCGAGAAGTGCATGTTGCTCCAGCTCGGGTGTTTTCACCACCACCTCCCATGGATTTGTCTTCGACAACTTTATTGCCTTCGATGACTTTGTTGCTGATGAATTCTCTCACCAACTTCCTTTGGTTCGTTGCTACTGTTCCGACATCTATGATGCTCTGTGAAGATTGTTGGAGTTGTCTTTCCATCATTTTTGAGGAGTTGTTTGGCTGAATTTTTGGCGTATGTTGGGTGGATGTTTTTCAGCGATGCCCCGACGTCGATCGCAAGAAATTTAAAATTTAATATTAAATAACTTATATATCCTAATATGCAATGACAATGTCAACCTTATAAGATTTAAAAAAAATAAAAAAATTGTTAAATACATCCCAAATTACTTTTAATATGTATATCAAAAATTATTATCTTATTCAACTTTCTAAACCACTGTTACTCTCCATTATAGAACAAAAACCTAACCATTGAAACTACAAACACGTTTGTTAAGAAAGATTATTTTTGACGAAGAAAACATGAAATTGACGTTTCGAAAGTTTCACCTTATTCAAAATGTACTGTTACAACTTACAGGTAGATGAATTAAACTTCGTAGGTGTCTCTTCGCCTCGGTTCGCAAAGAAGATAATAATGACATTGTTTCACAAAGCCACGTTCTGATCTGATGATCAGATAATGCTAAATTGCATTTCTGCCTTCAAAAGATAATTTTTACATTTACCCCATGGTGTTTGAGTATGAGATGTCATTTCGTGGGCATCTCAGCCAAACACAATACTTTATAAGGGTGTGTTATGAACACATTTCTTTTTACTTCTCACGTACCTTTTATTAATTTCTATTTTTTAATCTTTTTTAATTCATTCGATCCGGCGATTGAAAATTAAAAAAAAAATGTGAAAAGTAAAAAGAATGGGTGAATACCACCCCCTACTTTATACCGCCGAATTTAACTACCAAATGGACCTAGAGAGCCTAAACTTGTATTTCCGAAATTATCATTTTTGAGATACAATGTTGATAGTTAGAAAAAAGTTGAGCAGCTAAACAATGATTCAAGGAGAAAAAAAATCAAACAGATTGCTTTCACCATCTATGCTCTTAACCCCTCTATATCGTCTGGAAACTTCTGCCCTTTCAATTTGGTAAGGTTCCCCAAGCAGCTTTTACTTTCCTCTGTTTGAATCCTTTGCAGTAAGAAAATTCTATCAACATGCATCTCCCTATACCCTAGGAGCTTTGTTCGGATTCAAGCTTTCCGACGGTAATTGGACGATTCCTCCGACGCCCGCCATCAAGGTCAGTCTGAAACGATTCCTACATTATTCACCTATTGCATGTCAAAATCTGCTTCAAATTTGTGATTTAATATAATTGGGCTTTAGAAATTTTTTTCTGGATTTTGTCTAATCCAATTCAACGATTAGAAATTTCGCTACATTCTTTTGAATCTGAATTTAGAAAATTATATTCGAATTTGTTTTACATCTGATTCAGTTGGATTTAGAGGTTGTGAAATCCAAGATCAGTGGTGCCGCAAAGTGGCATATGAAGCAGGGCTCTTGTACCTGTAAAAACAGAATTCGCTTGTCTGGACTCTCCAGGCACAAGTTCGATTCCTGGTGAGAAGGATGTCATCAATGGTCGAATCTCCCTTTCTTCTCATCGCTTTTATCTATGGGTGATGGTTGTTTCTTCCTTCCGTCACTAATTTACGTCTTGGACAGAGAGATGGCGGGTGTTGGCGGTGGCGGTGTAGGAGGAGTGATATTGGACGAGTGTGTACTTTTTGGAGGTTCCAATGTCAACTTGCAACCAGACGCCCACTTTCTGCTTCATAAGCTCCGCCATTCCAACGTTCCTACGGTCGGTACTCCTCCTCCTACTAGTCTACTACTACTTTCCCTTTCGCTCTTTTGGTTCCAATTTTGTCCATCTGCTTAATTTTTCATTTCCATTTATTCTTCTGCCCAATGTAATTCAGCCTGTCATTCTTATCTTACAACTTTCCCTACCAAAATAACGAAATTATTGTTAATTAATCTTTTTTATTCTCTTTTTTGGCTTATCTTTGAATGCAGGGAATTTCTTATGGAGCAGGTCTTGAAGCTCATAAGGTAAAGCTTCTCATTTTCCTCCACATCCTTTGTTGTTACTTACACTTACACCTTCTTCTTCGATCTAAATTAAACAAGGAAATAAAAGAAAGAATGATCACACTATCTGTCTGAGCTCTGACAATATTCAATCTTGTATCTTGTCATATGTAGGTTAGTATTCTCAAAGAAATTGCGGCGCAATATTCCATCCATTGCTTCCTCTTAGATGAATCCGCATCCTCTATAGACGATGCTATACGCGAGGTTATGCTAGCTTGGCCTAATACCGGAGGCCGGATTTTGTATATAGTATCCAACAACAAGGAATACATGTTTCCTAAACTAAGCAAATGCGGTTGGCTTATCACGCTTCTCAGTGAGTATCGCACTTTCATGTTTTCCCCAACAATGCTTTGTGAGTCAATGACGTCCTGTTGTTGGCTCAACTGCAAATTATCTTGGTTTCAGATGTTGAAGGCAGCACCGCATCCACATGTGAGAGTTCAAGCATGGTGTATATTAACAAACTACGCGAGTTGCCTTTGACTATTTGCCAAATAAATAGAAAGGTTTTTAAGAGGAACTGCTGTCCATATACTACTATTCCTACTGCCTTTGGCTATTTGTTTTTATGTATTAGACTTTTCTTCTATATTTCTTGTAACGTTGAATCTTATGCTTCACATGGAAAACAGGCATTTGGAAACAGCGTTGTGACAGTTGGTTATATTATGAAGCCGTCTCGTGAAGAGGATTTCGCTAAGGTGAGCTTTCTATAAAATTGAAGGTAATCAGTGCTAGGAGAGAAGAACATATTGAAAAGACAAAAGGAAGAAAACATTGATACTTGGTATCGTGCAAATATGATTGTGCTTTCTGAAAGGCTTTGAGTCACTATTCCCTTGACTTTTTGCACTTGTAAAATTACCATGATAGATTGAATGGCTGTATTTATTTAACTGGAAATTCTAGTAATTTTGAGTTGAGGAAATTTATCAGGTTGATCTGATTTTCTGGGGTTGGCATTCTAAGTGATTGTGTGTATTTATGAATCAATCAGACGTATACATGATTGTATTTGAAGCTTACAAGTCATCTTGATTTTTTTCAGAGGGGTGCATTCCCTATGTATCCTACTCAAGATGGGTTGATGTTCGTTCCCATCACATTTGATCTCCCTCTAGCTCCTCAATTACAAGAAGTTGATGTAGTTCTCCATAAAGCAACTGATGAAATTATATCCATTAATTTGGATGGATCTTTACCATCTTCTACCAGCATAACATACAGCAGGGGAATGCAGGAATTGCAAAGGTAACTTGTTAAGTTTTTCAGTCTGATTTTTTCCTCCATAGAGAGTAGTTGGCTCACTACCAGAAGAAATAAGCATCTTAACAGTATCTGGCATCCCTATTTCCATAGAAGAGCTAATGTGAATCGCGTTAAGACATTAACATGTAGTACTTTTCTCCTATTCCATTGTATGCATAGCATTTGAGATGAATTTCCACTTTGTGGTGTTTATACTCGTGCCTACTTTTGTGACATGGTATACATCAGTAAATGTAAATGCATAAGTTTGTAGTTTATACTCTTCCCGTAAATGTATCCCTCCCTCTAATGTTAGTTTTAGACTTTCTTCTTCATATTCATACAGTCCTGATTTCTTGTACTTTGTAATCAATTAACCATTTTGATACCACGCACCAAAGCAAGTGTGTCCCGGAATTGGAGTAGCAAAAGAGCACTATATAACGTAGTAATGTCCATTTGGGTTGTTTTTAATATCCTTTTGTTTCTTACACAGATATATGGAACATCACCTAGACCTCTGTGTGATTGACCCACTTAGCTCCATTTATCCTGTAGTAGATCGATTGAAAATTCAACAGATTCTACTTGGGTTGGAGGATCTCAAAACCGCCGGTTGCTGCGCAATTAGGGGGCCTAATTTTCTTAAGGTGTGCGTGTGTGCATGTGCATTTTCTGCTTTCACAATGTTTTCACAAGTTAAAAGAAATCTCTTGATATTTAAGTTGCAGATACTTTCTCAGTAAACATTTTAGCAATTTTCGGCATAAATAATCATGGATTTATCCTGTAAGCGTAGTCTACTAAGTCACTGGCTATCTTAAGGACATGATTGAGCTTTTTGTGTATATAACAACAAGAATGGTTTATTTTAAATATCATTTTTATTTATACATGCGCAGGTTGATGATTTTAACCAGTCTGATTTGGTTCAAAGCCTATCTGAAGCCAAGTTAGCTCTTCCAAGTATAGTAAAACCTCAAGTTGCTTGTGGTGTGGCCGATGCTCATAGCATGGTAATGCTTTATTTATTAGTAAAAGAAAGGGATTGTAGTCACTTTGCTGCAAATACTATTTTCTCTTTCCCGTGTCATATTGGATTGCATTGAAAGGTCTTTAAATATTTGCTAAATGAATTGAATTGAACTATTGCTGAGGCAGTAATATTGAAATGAGATTTGGGAAGCATACGTGTTTATCAAATTGCTATTTGTTCTTCATCCAAATTCACCATCTTTGTCGTATTGTTTAAACTAAAAATTCAACCCTTACATCACAGGCAATAGTTTTTAGAGTTGAAGATTTCAAGGATTTGACTGTTCCTCTTCCAGCAATTATACAGGTGAAAAAGATTTAATTTTCATTTGATGAATTTGGTATAGCTTCTACCCGATATGTTTGGTATAGGAGTCCATTTGTTCTAACCTAATGCAATGTTTTTCTATTAAAAAAAATAAGTGCTAAAGTTCAGGTATGTTTTGTCACACGTGTTCATGCATGCTAGCTTACAGGGTTTTTCTTTGCAAATTATTGGAATTGCAGGAATATGTGGATCATTCATCAACGCTCTACAAATTTTACGTGTTGGGTGAGAAAGTTTATCATGCAGTTAAGAGCTCTACTCCAAATGCAGATGGTTTGAAAAAATTATCTAGAAGTACGGAGCTCAAACCTTTAGTCTTTGACAGGTGGAACGTTTGCTTCCCCTTCTACTCCTCTACCTCTCCTTTTGGTCTTAGTTTGTTGATACATGTACTCGGTGACCCATGACGTGGTGATCTTTCCTTTGCAGCTTAAAATCCTTACCCACTGCAAAAGGGAACCTGAGTTCTGGAGATGGTAATAGCTCAAAGGCCACTATTGATCTTGAGTTGGTTACTAGTGCAGCTAATTGGCTTATGAGAAATCTTGAGCTGACCATCTTCGGCTTCGATGTTGTTGTGAGTAAAGCTGAAATCATACGTTGATGTGTGGTTGGGATGTTTTGTGTCCCACCCTTTGACCCTCTTTTCCTATCATGTGTGTGCAGATTGAGGAAGGCACCGGCGACCATGTCATTGTCGATGTAAATTACCTCCCATCATTCAAGGAAGTTCCCAACGAAGTTGCTATCCCTGCGTTTTGGGGTGCGATTAAGAAGAAGTTTGAATTAAAAGGAAGAAATAAGTAGCGGCTAGTGTATTGACTCCGCCTCGCCGTGCAAGTAGTTTGTTAATGAAGATGAAGTTTGGTCGTGACAACAGTTTAACGGAAGCAAGAGTTGCGTGTACTAGCCTTGAAGGTCAAGATAACTTGTGTATTTTTATTCCATGCATTGCTCTCTCTAAGAAGTCGAGGATTTTTTTCTTTCTCCCTTCTACTTTCTTTGGTCGTTTTAAGATCATCTTCGGTTTTGATGTTGTTGTACCGAACCTTAGCTGGTTATACCAATATGAATTCTCCGAAGATTACTTATTTTGGAAGTCGGGAATCGTGATTCGTGATACAGGATGGAATGAACAATAGGGGTAAAGTTTCAACAATGGGATCATCGGATCAATTTTGGCAGTTGAAAATAGGTTAGATTTGTAAGAAATTGAACTGAATCCAACCGTTGAAAGACTTCAAATCCATTTATTGGCTGGTTCAATGAACAATAACCGACCCTCCTCCAACCAGATGGTGAATTGCCCTTACGTGACACCTCTTGGTCTTGGGTTCCAAGGTCGGTGTGCTCCTTGCTGCTGTTGCCATATTCACATGTGAATGTGGTTAACAAAACCAAAACAATGGGGTGCAGTAACAGTTCAATTCGGCGCAACAACAATGGAGCGGGGGGACTTTTCCTTAAAAAAAACGAGCCAGATTTGCATGGAATAGATAGATAATCATTGTAGTGTCTCAAACCAACAATATCGTGATATACGAACAGAAAAAAACAACACACTTAAAAACGCTATTATTTTGGTGTACGGTGCATCCGTACATGTGAGGGTCCAGCCAAGTCACGCCGAGAGAAGAATGCCCAAGTCCCAGTCCGCGTCCAAGTCTAATGAGGACAAATACACCGAGGAGGAGGGGGAGTATTGTTCGCGTTCAAGTAGTAGTACACTCGCGTGGTTGTAGGGCAGGAAGTAGAAGAAGAAGACGGGAAGTAAAAGAGGGGGGCCCCACACTCCCCAAGAAATCCACGTGGACCAATCCGACTCCGAGATGAAGAATGAGAGTTAAAAGTATAATAAAGTTATAAATAGGCGAGGATCGGCAGCAGCCTGAGACCCGAGAAGTCCTCTCCCCTGTCGTCTCCGCCCCTCGCAGGGCTGCGCTTGCTTAGTTTCTCTCTCTAATCTCTGTCAGTCTTCCCACCGGATACCCAACCAAACTAAACAAGATTGCGACAACTCATCCAAATCAAATGGCACAGGGTGAATCCCCGTCGTCCGATTCTCTATCAGATCCATCCCTATCCCGAAACGTTTCCTTCAGTCGCCTCAACGCCCAGGCCGCCGAGTTCGTCCCCAATCGCACCCCCACTGCGCCAGCATCCGCACCGGCAGCGCCTCCTGCGGCTGTGGGTCAAGTCCACGTTTACCCTCCGCCGCCGGCGCCGCCGCCTTCGGGCCCCTTCCATGTTCCGATCCAGGTCGTCCCTCCTCCTCCTCCTCCACCTCACACGGTGCCGGGCCCAGTTCATCATCATCATCACTTGCCGGTCCAGTACCATCATCACCACCAGTATCATTACTCTGGATTTGGAGACCAGGAACTGGCCGTGCAGCAGAAACAGAAGCATCAGCATCATCAGCAGCAGTTGGGCGAGCAATCTCAGGCGGATCATGCTTCCTCCTCCTCCTCCAAGACTCACAAGCTTTCCGATGAAGCCACCTCCAAGATATTGAATCAGGTTACTTGATAATTCCTAGTCTGTCTGTCTCCAGATCCTAATATTTGAATACCTCCAACACTAACAGTATATAGTTGTGATTGAGCGTTGTTCATAAACCCTCCCTTCATAGTTAGTAATTCCAAATCCCATTGATTGTTGTAAGTCCACATGTTGGATTGGATATCGGTTTGGTTGGCCTAACATTTCATTTTGCAGGTGGAGTATTATTTCAGCGATTTAAACTTGGCTACTACTGATCATCTTATGAGGTTCATAAACAAAGATCCTGAAGGATATGGTAACCTCTTCTTCTTTTCCTTTACTCGACAATTTCATATGCTTCCAAATGCGTTTTAGGGTTCGATTCAATATCCATTGTTTGAATTTTTTATCGTTATTAACTGTTTAATATTCATCCTGATATAGTGCCGATCTCTGTTGTTGCATCTTTCAAGAAGATTAAGGCCCTTGTAAATAGTAATTCCCAGCTTGCAAGCATATTGCGCAACTCTTCAAAGCTGGTGAGTTCACTTCATCCTTCTCTTTAAGAAGTAAAAACATATTCCGCCTCACTCGTGTATCAGTTTCTTCGTTTGTCCTTTTGTTTTGATCTTTAACGATGTCATGTTTTGCAGGTAGTTCATGAAGATGGAAAGAAAGTTAGACGTCAGCATCCCCTGACTCAGTTAGATATGGACGAATTGCAAGTAGGTTTTACTTGTATTCAGTACCGTTTACATGTTAGGATAAATGTTTTGGTTTGGTGCCTCGATTTATGCCAAGGATTTTGTGAGTCGGTCTTTTTAAAAAATGGTATTTTAAGAATAACAGGCGAAAGATTTTTTTTTTTAGTGTTATAATTCTCTATTGAGGGCTCGTTGTAAATCCTTGTTGAACTTGATAATTCTTGAGATTTCATGAAAATTAAACTCATGTTTCCTCTTATCATCTGATTTGCATCTGATCTTCTGTAGTCTCGCATAGTTGTCGCTGAAAATTTGCCTGAGGACCATTGCCACCAAAACCTCATGAAGGTGTTCTCTGCTGCTGGGAGGTATCAAGATCACATTTCGTTCTAGATTTTTATTTTTTACTCAAGTTCTTTAATTCCAAGTAGGATTTGTTTTATTGATCCCAGAGTCTATATAACGTTGAGTTGTTCTTTGACAGTGTGAAGACAATCCGGACCTGCCAGCCACAAGCCTCCAATAGTGGTGCTTCCTCGGCATCCCGATCTGCAAAAGCAGATGGCATGCTTTTCAGTAACAAGGTATGCATACAAACACATGCACACTTGATTTGGTTTGTGCTGGTATTTGCAGTTCCCTACACCGAGTAAAATAGTATATATACTGAATAGTTAACAATAGTAATTATAGTTCCTATATAGTTAAGGGTGGACGGAAATATCTCATATCTGGACTCTCTATTTTTTGTAGTTACATGCATTTGTGGAATATGAATCCCCTGAGATAGCGGAGAAAGCTGTAAGTGTTTACAATGATTAGACGTGAATATGGTTTTTGCCATGTTCATTACGTAAAATAAATTTGCATTTCTGTTTTTTGTTAAAAATGTGTGTTCCTATTGCACAGGTTGCAGAGCTTAATGATGAGGCAAACTGGAGGAGTGGCCTTAGAGTCCGTTTAATGCTTAGACGAGCGGTATATGCCCAAAACTATATATGGTTCTTTGTTAGGTAGATCACTTTGGTTCCTGAAATTGTAGTTTCTGTTTGTTCCTTTCGCAGTCAAAACCTGTTCAAGTGTGGGGGAAGAAGGGGCAGGATGGGGAAGTGCAGTTAGAGGAAGAAGATGCTTCTACAGCTGAACAACAGGCAAATGAGAAACACTTAGTAGATTCTTCCCAACAGTCAAATGTCCATCCACACGAACACAAAGAGAGAACAAACTCATTGAAATATGTATGTATTTTGTTTTGAGCGTTGCATTTAATTGATAAACATTTACACATGCTTATTGGATGAACTTTTCTCAAAATGGTTCATGGTAGCGTAAGTATGGTACTGGAACGTTAGTGTTACATTAGGGATGATAGTTACCCCCTTTCACTGATGTCAGCCAACAAGCTCCTTGGGGAGCGGGAAAAAATTTGAGAGTTAATTCGCATTCTTCACTAAGCTTTTTGATCGTAGATATTGATTTTAATGATATCAACTCAAGTGTGATAATCATTTCATCTAGCATGAATTCACCTTACTATAGAAGCCCCAACTATGGCGTATTCACTTTGTTTGTATTATCATTTTACGCTTGTATCAATATAATATTTTTTGCGTAAATTTTCTTTGCCAGGGAGAGGAGCATGGCAATGACAAGGATGTTGGGCAGAGAAAAGGGCGTAATAAAGGCCGTGTCAAGGGGCGTGGGCGAGGTCAATACCATCAGAACCATCATAATATTAATCGTGGAAATCATGCGGGGCATCCTCCTAACAATTCAGTTGGGAGTACGGAGCAGGCAGTTCTAACCAAGCAGCCTCCCGGGCCGCGTATGCCTGACGGCACAAGGGGATTTGCAATGGGTCGGGGAAAGCCAGCTACTGTTAATATTGCCTAAGGACTGGGGGAATTTGATAGGGTTTTTTTCTTTGGTATCTCTGTGGCTGCAAAGTACGTGTTGGGGGTGGTGGGAAGGGAAACACTGTCTTGTGGTGTGGTGTTTGATGGCGAAGGTTTTTTTAAGGGCTGTCAATCCATATTGTTGTCTTGAGGCCGAGTCAAAAATAAGTCCTAACATTTTCTGTTTGTGTTTGCAAATGTGATTGCGTCCTTTGTTTTTAAGGAAAATTAATGAAAATGGCTTGAAAACTTTGAGTTTTAATAATAAGGACAAAATAAAGGGTAAAGTGAATAGTACCAGGATTGACTTTTTAGTGTAAAAATGTGGTTTTTCGTTAAAGTGAACAGTATCGGGTGCTTTCGTTAAAGTTCCCTTGTTTTTATTGATGCAGGAAACCATGAATACCAATACATAGATGGATAAATCATAAATGTAGTCGAGTCAAGAAATTTGGTCATAACCAGTGATTGGTTAGGTTTAGATTTTGTTTTTACATCCCAAAATCTTTGTTTTACACAAATCAAATGTGTTATCTCGTGTGATTCAATAACGCGGTATTTTAAACCACATTGTGTTAAACGGATGAAGATTCAAAATTTAGTGCGAGAAAATGGGTTGGCCTTCCCTTCTTGTTAGTGGCACTAGTTTTTATTCATTTGTAAGCGGGAGCCTTTGGCTTCCAAGGAGGGTGCATTTTTGCTCATCGTACTCATCATTTTATTTATTATTTTTATATGAATTTAAATTTTGAGATTTATGTATATCTATTATTCAGATCTCGAAATTTAAAATTATCTAAGGGTGACAAATAGACGGTAATCACTTACCATCATTTGAGGGCTTAATTATGACTAAATCATTGTCTAACGTATCGAAAAGGAAAATACAAACAAAATGTCCGCCTAAAAACAATTAAGAAAACACCTTTAAATTGAATCTATTTCTTCGAACTCTGACGGACATATGAAAGTGAAAATAATTAAGAAAGAAAGAAAAACCAAGGGGGAATGAAAGTGAACGGGCATCTACATTTCCGCCTAAAAACAACCTCACAACAAACACACTTGATAAACACAGACGCAGCGGAGGAGGACCGGAGGATACAATCTCGCGAGTTTCGTCCGTCGTCGCGCACGCGCCCACTCTCTCTCGCTCTTTCTCTGTCTTTGAGATTCAGGGGAGCTTGGACTCAAAGTAGTGAATCAGTAATGGCAGACTCAATCACACCCATCCTTCCTAACAATCCTAACCCTAATTACCAGGGCCCAGCAACTGGAACTCTTCCTCCTGCTCCTCCACCTTCATTGTCACTAGATGGATCACCGCCGCCGCCGCCGCCTCCTCCAGCCCCAGCTTCGAGGAGTCCCGTCGTGTTCAGCTTCCCCAAGAGGCCTTCGATTCGACTCACTTCCGAGTTCGACAGCGACTCCTCCGTCTTCTTCCACAAGGTCTCTTGCAAGCTGCTGGACAGCTTCGCCAAGCTGAAGCTCTCCTTCAGCAACAACCACAAGGGCGAACTCTCTCCGCCGCAGTTGACATTTGTCTCCAAGAACCTCTCCGTTCACCACAACTTTGAAGATCAATCTACCCTCCTCAACGGCTCCGTCGATGTTGGCCGGAGATTGCATCTCCGTGCTACCCATCATCTCCAGGTTACCTCCTTAATCCCTTTCTTTCGAATGTAAATTTGTAATGTAATTGTTGAGATCATCCCGCATTCCATCTTAGGCAATTAGGCTTTAGCTTTTCATTAACCATGCCCCATCCAATCTTCGTGTGTCTATTTATGTTTTCGCAAAGCTTATCGACATGAACAAGTTGACTCATTTTTCTCTCATGTCTAAATGTCATGATTGTTCTTAGGCACAAGAAGGAGAGGCAACCGTGGTCGCGAAGCTTGCTGACCCTGGCTATGCACTTGAGCTCTCTTCTCCTGTTCCTTATGTTGGTATGGTAAGTAAAACACATGATATCCGCGGTATAATGATGTTATGACACCCTAGTTTTGAATTGTCGTCCGTCATTCCATTTAAGTACAACTCTAACAAGACCATTTCCTTGGAGTCCTACTGCTGCGCGGAGTCAGTAGTGTTTCAAACTTGTTTCTGTTTTTGCACATTGATCTGTTTTAAGATACACCAGCATTCGTGACTTGGATTGTTGATTTATGACACTATGGCATATTTTGAGAATCGTCATTTGGATTTATAAGTTGGTGTTGGATTTCTGAGTTGGTGTATACTTGATAACGTTCCGTGTTGCTCTCATTTTATTGAATGCTTTATTTCTTTTCCCAAAAAAAAAATTGTCCTTTTATGTCATCTTGCAGCGTTACAATTTACCAAATAGAAAAATAGTCGTTTTTAAATAATGTATTAGTTTCCTGTTCTTCTTAAAAGGAAAAAAAAAAAAAAAAAGTGTCTTGTTACTTCTCCATTCCAGAGTGTCCCTTATTTTTCCCCTTGTTGATTTTTTACTGGGGAAAAAAGAATAAAAAGATCTCGTGGCACCATATTATATGAAATGCATCTCCTTACATGCCTAAACAAAATCAGTCCTGTCACTTCTCCACTCCAGAGTGTCCCTTATTTTTCCCCTTGTTGATTTTTTACTGGGGAAAAAAGAATAAAAAATCTCGTGGCACCATATTATATGAAATGCATCTCCTTACATGCCTAAACAAAATCATGGTAAGTTTTATTTATTACCTTAATCACTACGCTGATGCTGCAGCCGAAAGCTACCCTAAAGTTCCCACTGGGTGAAGTTTCTATGGAGGAGAAAGAAGAAGAGGAGGCGAAGAGAATTTTATCGATTAATGGAATTGTAAAAAGCCAAATTTTGAATGGGTTGTGTACTGCTGATTATGCGGATGAAGATTTGAAGTTGCGATATTCATACAAGGTAAGCATTTCATTACTCTGGTTTTCTACATTTGGTGTTTTTCAATTGCACAAGAGGGAGAGCTGGGTCCCCATAAAGAAAAAGCAAAAGTATTCAACGTCTCCTAATAGCTGGATGAATGCATTTTTCATCATATTGGCGTTTCGTCTCTGTGAACTTTTCTGACAGCTTTGGACTTATTACAGGATGAGGAGATGTCTTTTATCCCAACCCTTTCTCTGCCTTCTAATGCTTTGTCATTTGCTTTTAAGCGTCAGTTTAGTCCTTCAGACAAGTTGAGGTTAGAAATCTTACTTTTTCTTTCCATTTAGGATAGTCTTAAAAGTTTATTGATTTGTTTCTTTTTGTGTTTTGTTTGTTGATTCAGATATATACATGGGAATAAGTATTATGTTATCTGCTTAGTATCATCATTTATGAAATTGTAATGTAAATCTTGTCTTCAACATTTTTCCTTAAAAGTCTCCAATAGTAAATTGGTACAGCTTGGATTTTTATTAAATGTGTTGCTCGAGCATTTGAAATAATGAAGTGAAAAATGGGTGATTTTCGCGTATAGCTAAGTTGCATTGAATATTACTTCAAGGTAATTTCACCATGCGAGCATCTTGTTATTTGTTTAAGGTTGTTCATCATGCAGTCATGTATTTGCACATTTTGTCTCCAGTCATCTATTTCCAGACTGTTCGAAGAGTTTTATACTGATTTTGGTGATTTCATCTCCAGCTACTGGTACAATTTTGATTCCAACTACTGGAGCGCGGTATACAAGCACACATACGGCAAGGACTTGAAACTTAAAGCTGGTTATGACTCAGAGGTGCGCCTTGGCTGGGCATCTCTTTGGGTAAGTGCTTATTTCAGGACAACAATTAAAGGCCTTTTTTACTTTTCTTCCATTGTTCCACTTGAAAAGGGAGTTTGGAAGGAAACCCTTAGGCTATGCATGGAAACTATTAATGACACATAATGCCATAATAAGTTGAATTGTAAGAAAAATTTATGTCAATGAAGATTTCTTTGAAGTGTTGATCGCATGCTAAAAATGATTCAACACTTAGGTTTGCGAATTAAGTGCCTCACCGTTGAGTGCACACACCCCTTTTTAGCTTTGTGGATGTCACCCCCCATGAAGAAATGATAGGAAACATGAACCTGTTTGTTTCAGGTTGGAGATGAAGGTGGGAAAGCAAAGACAGCCCCGTTGAAGATGAAAGTTCAATTCATGCTCCAAGTGCCGCAAGATGACATTCGATCATCGGCTTTGATGTTCCGGGTTAAAAAGAGATGGGACATATAATAGTCACTCTGGTTGTGGGATGATATGATGTAGTGCCCTTTTATGAACATTCAACTGCAACTCTGTTTCGATATCATATAAATATGATAGTGTTGTTTTATATTTACCAGTTGAAATAATACTTTGATAGTCAGCAGGTGACGGGCAGTCGAGACGGAAAGCTGAGAGGATCTTGGATAAGTACTTATTTATTAAGCAATTGGGTTTAGTTTACACAAATTAGTTGGTCTAGATGAGGTCGTTGCTGGATCAGATGCTGAAGAAGAAGCAAGTGGCTGTATATTTTTGTCATGTGGTCCTTCCCTGTTTGTCTGCTCTGTTGTTCCAGCTCAAAGATATTACCTTCGCGAGAGATCCCTATGAAATTCACAGCACATACATCAAATCGTAGATTCATATCAAAGTTCAATGAAATTCTTGCAAGACATGAAGCTGCATTGGTCGCTATTGGAGCGAATTTGTTAAGATATTGTCCCGTTGGAGTACTCGGAAACAATTGAGAATTGACAATGAACTAATTTTTTTATTTTTTATTTTTACGAGTACAAGTTCTACACAGTGAGAATGTCACTGGATGCTAATTATAAGAATGGTTGATGCTATTTACACATTTTTTTTTTTTTACGTTTCACACATCCGGTTAATTTTATCTTTTGGTTTTCTTCAAGTTATTCGATCGGACAGGTAGAAGAATATAATCTATTTACCCTATTCAATAAGTGAAGATAAAATAGTTAATCACGTACTGTCATGTTATCAAGTTATACACGTGGCACTTGTAGTTTCATTGACATTGTATATAGGTTCCGTTGAGTTGTGCGTAGGTCAAAATATGCAAAGAAAGAAAGATAAAATTAAGGTAAATATACGAGAGTATAATAAAAGTTGAAAAGCCAAAAAGCGAACGAAAAGATAAAAATTGGAAAAGGAGAAGCCTTTTTGACAAAATCTTATTCCATTTTACAATTTGTTAATTTTCTGCGTTATATAAATAATCAAATGAGGAGAGATTGTGAAAAGCGCAGAGAGATAGAAGCAGAAGCAAGCAGCAGCTGCCCCCCAAAGCAGAAGCTGAAAGAAAAGCGAGGAATGACAACACCCTTGCATTTGAGGCTCTTCCTGCCTCTCACCTCCATTACTCCCTATTCTTCTTCTTCTTCTTCCTCCTCAGACTTCCCCTGCAAGTCCTTCAAATCCTTTCACTCTGCAAGCCCTAATTTCAACCTTTCTTCCCTCTCATCTCACAACCACACATGTGCTCGAAACAAGACATCCACTCGCTCCAAACCCAAGGTATCTCTCTCTCCCTCTCCCTCCGCATATTTATATGTTCGTATTCAAATCATCAGCTTTTCTTAATTCTGAGAAATTGGGTTTTGTTTGTGATGAAAAAGATTGTATATTTGGGCTTACAAGTCGTTATGCTCATTTTTCTGGGATGAGATGCTTTTGTTCCTTCATGAAGTAATTGAATTTGCTCTTCAAAGTTGGGGTCTTGTTTGCGTTAGTCTCTCTGTTATCTCAAGATGCTGCTGCAATTCTATAATTTCAACTTCCATTTGCCTTAAACCGGTTTAATTTCCTGTAAAAGCGTGTGACTTGAACTTGTATGCTTACAAATTACCACTCTTTGTGGGCAGTTGGTTTTCACTAATGATTTACTACCAGGGGTATGTTTTTCTGTACTCGTATAGTGGCTTTGCGGACACTTGAGAAGAGATCAAGACATAGGTAGTCGATCAAATGAAGACGCGAGCGCGACTGGTGCGAGTATGTTTGGTTCGGATGAAGAAGGAGGTACCCAAATCCCAACCCAGGCTCAATCTGTTGTCGAAGGATCGGGGGCAGTTATGGTTTCAGAGTATAGACCTGTGGACGATGTGGATTATCTCCAGGTGCGTGATTATTCTTCGGTTTGGCTTCTTTCCATTTCGTAGACTCGATGCATGTAAATATAATCGTTTCCATGAGGATTACTTGCAAAAACCTAATTCCAGTCACTCAATTTATTTGTAAACCATATGTTTGCAGGACTTTTAGGTAGCCTATATCTCTTGCAGGTCTTGCATGCTTTGTCTTTAAGTGTTTTCTTAATTGCAACTTGAAAGCACTCTCAGTCTTCCTATATTATGCAACGTTATCTGCAGGAGTTATTAGCCATTCAGCAACAAGGGCCCAGAGCCATTGGTTTCTTTGGGACCCGGAATATGGGATTCATGCATCAAGAACTTGTTGAGATTCTCAGCTATGCGATGGTGATCACTGTAAGAGCTGTAACTGAATTTGATTTTATATCTTGCATTTATGAGTACGTATGGAGCTATCAGATGTTCAACAATACTGGGCCATTTCAGTTTATGTTGAATCTGAAGGGATCAGTGACCTTGACTTGTGTGTCCCTTAACCTCTTGTTTGCAGAAAAATCACATATATACATCAGGGGCATCCGGCACTAATGCAGCTGTCATCAGGGGTGCTTTAAGAGCAGAGAAACCAGAGCTGCTTACCGTAATCTTGCCCCAGAGCTTGAAGAAGCAACCACCTGAGAGCCAGGAATTATTGTCAAAAGTAAGAATTTCTTAAAATGACATTCCTTAAATTTTACGCGTCATCTATTTTGGTCTTTACTAGATTTTCTCATAGTATTCACATGTTCAGATTTATCAATTGTTTATTGTCTCATAGTTGACTCTGAGTTTAGATTTTCGCTCCTCTTTTTCCTTTTTGGATATCCTTGATGCTATTTGTGTACAGTAGTTTCTTAAACCACAATAGAAGGGGCTTTTGTAGTTCTAGTGCACTACGGCCTTGCCCTCTGCATCCCTCTTGGTTATATATCAAAGGCGAAAAACTCATACAAGGCCTATGTCTCTTTTTCATCTTTGTTTTTCATTTTTCCTTTACTCAAGGAAGTTCTAATAATTCATGTGCATCTTGCTCAAAATGTTCATCCGTTCAAATTTGTTCAGGTATGATTGTATTACAGTCATTTCCTTGTTAGGGAACATCCAGGAAAGCATATAGTATATAGCCTATCACCATTTAATGAGGTGATATGTATGAATTTGAAGAGCTCGCCAGCAAATGGTTCTTATTTTGTATTTAATTTGACAGTTAAATATTGCTGTATTAGGATGAAATTGGGTGTGCTATTTCTCAATATTCTTATGATAGGAACTTAGGATTACAGTTCCTACAATTTATTACTGTAGGCATTACAAGAGTAGATCTGCTGTAGAATGCCTCAGAAAATGAAATTGAATCGGCAGCTCTTAATTATTTACAGAGCGATTGGGTACATATAAACTTGAACAGAATTTAATGGGTCCCAAGTGTCTTTCTAGTTGTTATTTCCATAATATGTTTAGTAACTAAACCTTGTTTCCCGCCATGCGAAAAAGGAAAAGCAATGTTGTTATGGTAATTGATAATTTCTTGGGATTTTCAGGTCAAGAATGTGATAGAAAAGCCTCAAAATGATCATCTACCACTGATAGAAGCGAGCAGGTTGATAGCAGTTCCACTTTTACGTTTAGAGTAGCTTCCATCATGTTATACCAGTTGCAGGTATCATTTATCTAAGTATGAACTTGTTTTCATGTGTTTGGTGGTGAAACTGCAGGTTGTGCAACATGAACATCATTTCACATGTACAGCAAGTTATATGCTTTGCGTTTCACGACAGTAGATTGCTCATGGAAACTTGTCAAGAGGCCAAAAATCTCCGCAAAATTGTGACTCTCTTCTACCTGGATTAAGCACCCCCTTCCCTTGTTCATGCTGTCCATACATTTTGAGTGAGTGAGGGGGAGAGAGCGCTTCTATTTCTGTTTGTATAAAATTAGATGGAAGCGACCAAATATCAATGAAGTAGCTTGGAAGTTGATTAATTTTGCTCATTCTGTCATTTTTTTGGCCGAAGCCTGAGGTATCCCACACCGTGAAGGATAGGGCTAGTCCCTAGCAGGGTCCGGAAAGATTAAAGGCATTTTAGTCCACCCTTGGCCACAATCAAATTGTTCAGTCCGTGATTGGAAGCGCTGTATTTTGTTAGTATATATTTTTATTTTGGTTTATGGTTAAAAGATTAAATAATAAATATTTATGGGACTCGATAAATGGATATATACCATTTTCAAATGATTTATAAAATTCTCCCTTATCGTGTAACCAAAATATCTTGTAGAAACTCGAACAATCTTCACAAAAATTGTGAACAATAATTCACCGGTTTTTTATTAGTTTTGCAAACTTGTACCACAACTTTTGCCGTACCAATGTATCATCAGCTACCGGAAATTCATGGAAGATATTTCAAAGATGTCCTCATCGACAGAACTGTCTTATGGCTATTTTGGTCCCACTAATATTGTATAAATGAAAGACCACTTACAAATGATAATTTAGAGCGATATTAGGGAGCGATATTATCCACTCCATTTTATTTTTCACAAATTCACATTTTTTTTATAAATTTTCGACTATCAAATCGAATAAATTTAAAATGATCAAGTAATAGAAATTAACAAAGAATGTAGATAGCAGCTGCATATGCAAAAAAAAAAAAAAAAATGCGAAAAACTGAAAAATCACACCTTTCACAAAAATTGTGAAGCGACAACTCTTTTTTTTTTTTTTTTTCAGTTTTGCAAAGTTGTATGTGTGCGACTAAATAACATAAGATCACTTTGTAACACCAGGATTTACAAATGTTACAAGAAAATCATGAAATTTGTTATATAATATTCCTCTCCAAGTACAAGTTAGGATCACATCAAATCAACAAAAAAGTTTCTTGAAAGAATCTCAACGGTTGCGCCTTATACAACACCACGGTCACCAGTCGCACTACTGTGAGTGTGACGAGTGCAAGGATTGTAGAGTTGCAGCTGAGTTCAAGTGCTCCTACATCTATCTGCATGCATTGTATGCCAAAGTATGAAATGTCAGAGCATCACCAAGAGACTTTAAACCTATTGGACTGTAGACTTGCAGCTGCAACGACGGCATCCCCTGGCTTTAGATTATATGGTCTTCTGCCCCTCCCTCAGCCGCAACTAAAACACAATATTGTCGAGGCTTTAGAAAAATCCAAAATCTGAATAGCTGTTTGAAATGGAAGATACACTGTCATACTTTGAAGGAGCGTTTAAATAAGCGATCAGGAGGATGGAGGGAACCTTGGAGATGTTATCAATCACTTTCATCAGAGAAGTTGCCATCACTCTCTTGCTCGTAAATCTGGTATTCTTCATCGCTTGTATGTGTTGCTGCTACATCTTGTTGTATTCTATCACCCCCTGCTTCAGAAGAGGGAAAACTACCAAAAAGTTCCTGTAAATGGGTTCTTGAGATGTTTTCCATGTTCATATCTAACAACATATAGGAAATCCACAAGAATTTGCATGACTTCAAACATTTGAAAACCGCCAATCCACAAGAATTCGCAGTATTGCTTCAAAGTATGGAAAAATAAGTCCCAGAAAGAATCACTTTTTGGTTTCAAATCATGCCAAATTATCAATCTTTATGTATGAAAGATGCACAAAACAGAAAAAGAAAATTGAACTGGACAGTTACAGGAACTGGACAGTTATGCTGTAAGGATACAGGAATGTGACTGCAGAGAAATTTCACCATCCTCAGCCTACAAACAAGTGAACATGAAATAAGTCAGCAAAAACGAGGCATGCTCGAATCTTGATAATTTATTGAAAAGAAAAAAACTGTACATAAACCAATATTAAAGAAGACGGTGATTTAAAAGATAATTTGTTGAAGAGAAAAGAATCAATTACCGCATCAATTCCATCATACGTATCTAATGCCTCTTCAACATTATCAGCCTCAGTGTCATCTTTCTCATCATCCTCAAGATTGTTGGGTTCTGCAACATCTTCCTTGCCTATAAGTTCTCGATAAAAGTACTCAATAAATATCACCAACAATCAGTAAGTCCTACTATATTTAATCTCTAAAATTGTCTTTTTTGAAGGACAGCACTGAAAAAACATTCCAGTGATACAATACTTTGAAAGTTCTCGAAAACAGTCAGAAAATTTAAAAATATTAAACATGCTCTTAATTAAACAGTACTTTCGAAAGAAAACTAATAAAGAACCGGAACCCAGTCCACAAATGTAGTTTTCTGTTTGTACCAGCATTGTCTTCTGGCTGTATCACTTCAGCACGTATAAAGTTGTCTTTACTGCACATCTTCTTGGACTTTTTAAAGCTTTCCGTTGCAGCTTTAAGCAAGTGTTCCGAACCAGGTTCCGGGAACACAGATAGGAACCTCACCTTAACACGATCTTTCAAGTTCTCAAGCATGTTATACGAAAACCATCCCGTCTCAGACTGCAAAGAAATAGGCTAAATTCAAGGCTAGCCAACGTTGAAATTCTAATGGCCCAAATAAATAAAGGAAAAGTAAGTTAATATACTTCATTTCACTACAGTAAATTATGATTGTCTACAGGATTAAAGAGATTCTCACAATACATCATCAAACATTTAGAAGTTATGATCAATTGTACTTTTATATTATACAGGTTTTATGGATATGCAAATAGATGAATTTGCATGGAAAAGTGACAACACATCTTGATTCTAGAAACTCACGGAGCAAGTTGTCTGAGCTGGAGGCTTCCTTATCTGTTCTTGAATGTAATCATCACCAAGTTCAAATAGTTGCAATGTTGTATGGCACTTGTAAGGGAACACTCGAAATGCACATATATCCTCCCATCTATGCTTTAGTCTGCACGAGTGACCCCAAAAAGAAAAAGAATAAGAAAACTTATTCGCATAGACAAATTGTCATTCATATTAACAACTGGAAATTAGAACGAGTAAATTTGGTCTTCAAAGCTAGAACCAGTTGCAAGGCTCATCTTGAGTATCCTCCAAACAATGCATGGAAAGAAACACATAATTCTAAAAATTAATGATGGTACAGATACTAGGGCAAAAATAAGATGGTTGATGTTTCATAACAACCAATTACTGGACAACTCCGTAAGCACTCAATCAAGTCAGCATTGCTTTCTTTATTCAAACATAGTAAGAAAAAGCCAAGAAATAACCTCTCTCTCACTCAATTAATTGTTACACTAGATTTTGAACAAAACTAAAGAAAACTTTGAAGAGAAACTTACTGATTGGCTGAATTAGCATCACAGTAACTTTGTAATGGTGGTCTTACTCGATAATCAATTTTCTGATATCTGCCGAAACAAAATATTACTATAAGCAAAAAAGGAGATAAATCCAGAATCAAATTAGGTGGTCGTGGAGGGAGTTCTTTTGCCCCCTTTCGGAATACATATTGTAATTAGGACTTTTCAGGTCCATCATTATCTTTTACAATAATCAAAAGTAACAAGCTTCCATATACAATTTTCCCCTTTCCTTTAAATAATAACATTGTATGATGGAAACAGAAACCTACATGCAAAAGAAAAAAGAAAAAAAAAAGCATACAGTTGCTAAATACTATATGTGTAAGAGGCTTTGTTTATAACTCACATTCGAGAATCAGGATCTTTGCGAGGATCATATCCTTTTTTTATCCAAAACCTAAGAAAAGGTCCACGCGAAAAGTAGTATGCAACTCTAGAAAGAAGCCTGCAAGAACAAAATGACCTCAACCGACAGAACGAAGACTAAGACTAGAAGACTACAAGTTAAAGGAAAGACAACCTTCTGAGTATGTGATCTGAAAAGTTGAAGCCCTTATCAAGCAAGCGTTCGGTTAATGACTCTTTTGGCCATATAGGCCGCTCATCAAACAGCTGAGACAAGGCCATCTGTGACACCCACTGATCTGAGCCATGGGATATATATTCCTCCCAATTTGTTCTCTTAGGAATCTGTAAGAATGCTAAGTAGAAAAGATACACAGCTATGCAGGAACTTCATAAAGATTCCAATCTTGATGACTTTCATGCCATCAACTCTTATTATTATTCTTCTGAGATAAATAAATAAATATGGAAAATTTAAAATAACTCTCAGCAATAAATTACAACTAGCTTTCTAAAATTAACATTTAGGATATCACTGATGCCAAAGTCAAGTGCAAGAACTGGCTCCATACTCATCTGGAAAAAAGAAAATAATAATGTCAGTTTGAACTATCCACCTAGTTAAAACTTATCGAATAAGCTGAAACAAGAACCTTAACACTGGGGTCTAAGACTCATCTTGTACCCTCAAAAGAGCCAAATAAGTACAAATATCATAGCTTTTAGCATGCATGTATTTAGCTATGTCATCAAAACAGTAGAGTAATTCAACAATAACACTCACCTCCCATTGGTGTTGCACAGGTTCTTCTTGATTCTTTTTTGCACTCAACGTCGCTGATGGTTTCAACCTAAAAGGTAAGTACACTGCATACATTAGCACAGGAAAATTCAGCAATTTGCTTGAGGCCATCAAATAATATACCATCCAATAAGTTCCAAGTCTTATAATAAGAAACAAAGATTCCTATGAGAAAGAAGACGAGTACAAGAGAAGAAGGGCAGAGGTGCATCTAATCAGATACTATAACAAAGCTTAACAAGATACAAGGAACACATAGCTCCCCAACTAATCAAGATCAAATACAATAAAGGGAATATTCTCATATGATTAGAACAAAGGTGCCCACATCCACATGTCTTCATAATACTTGATTTTAGCTCCTTGGAACCACCAATAATTGATAAAGTAAAGAAGGATAACCCCATTACATGACTTTAAGTAGTCATGAAGAAAGAATCATAACCAAAAACAAGAAGTTATCTCTGAAGGAAAATTGTGGTAACAGGATTATGCAAAGATAAAAATAAATTTCCAATATAAGAATAAAAAAAAAACGCTAGAACATCTTACACTAAACTATCAGGCACATCCTTGGGTGCAAAAAGTTGAGGTAGTAGAATCATCACATCCTCCTGGTTAACATCCATAAGGCCACCCTTATCTAAAAATAAATAGAAAATAATGTACAAGAGATAAACACACTCAGTAAGGCGAAGGAAAGAAAGATGTTACGAATATCTTCAAGTTACAAAAACTAAAAAGAATTGAAACCTAGAGACTTTACCTAAGTGTGGCTCATCAATTTCTGTCCAATTCCTCTTTTTCTTCCGTGCAACATCAGCATGGACAGCAATGACATGCTGGTAGTCTACCATCCCTTTAAACATGTCAAAAGAGGAAAAGAAGCACCACTGAAAGTCAGTTCTGAAATTGCAGGAAAATTTAACGAAGTAAATAATCTAGGAGATGTAACAGGTGTTGATGCAAGCAGGGCCACTCTAACCATCAAAGTGATAAGCCTCTGGAACACGAGCAACAATATCAAAGTTTAATTGATCATTATCAGGTTTCTGCAATTCATCTTCTTTAAGGGCAAGTAGTTCACTTTCGGGTTCCGATGACTGTATGCCTTTGCCCAAGTCAGTTGCATCTTGCAAGGACCTTTTCAACGTCCTATTGGAAACTTGATCGGTTTGTCCAGCACTAGACTTGGTTTTAGATATTTTGAGCAAAAAGTTGTTGCAAGGACGTAGGTCTCCAAATGCAGGATGTGCATATGGATCTTCGGGCCGAAAATGGAGCTCCAGCCTGCTTGACTGTGAAGTACGAGCCTGCAAGCCAAATGGTGAAACATCTCAACATTAAAATGGTTAAAGGACTAGAGAATTAGTAAAGTGGGCAACTTGGCAGACCTTACGAATTGCTTCGGTTCCTCCTAGTGTCTCGATGGCGCGGGACATGGACGAAGGATAACCGGGATAGTGGATGGCGAAAACTTGTTTGCTAGGGAGAAATCCAGTGGCGGTGCCATCTTTCACGACCCCCATTGTACAGGTTACAGTTGCAGAGAAAACCAACCTAATCTAAACAATTCAAAACTACCCAGCAGTACCTACATCATTATTCAATTAGACCAAAAAATAAAAAGTTAAACTTGATATGTTAAGATGGACAGTGGACAACCATAATTCATATTCGATGGAATATAATTACCAAGAAAGAATACTCATCAAGTTCAATAATTTGAAACAAAAGGGAAAATAAAACTTAAGAAGAAAGTAGAAAGCATGAATATGTTGATGTAGAAACTCTACCAGACTACCAGGCAGGGAGCAACTAGGTTGTCTTCTTCTTTAATTATTCCAGCCCCTTCTCATGGAGGCGCAGGGATAGAGAGAGAGAGAGAGAGAGAGAGAGAGTGTGTGTGTCTGAGAGTGAGAGAGGCGGAGTTCGCAAGAACGGGACTGGCAGAGCCGCAGAGGAGGGGGGGGGGAAAGGACGGAGGGGAGGCGGGGAAAGGACGGAGGGGAGATGGGGAAATTATTCTATGTATCTGAGATACCCTACCCCGGCCCATCGGACCAGCAATATTTTGACACGTCGTTAAATTTTTATAAAACGCGAGGACACGTCACCTTAAATTCCCGAGTTCGGAGGGAGTTTGACTGCTAGAACTCCGGTACAAACACGTCCGTCGGAAGGAGGGAGGGCCGGTTGGCACGCGGGACAAGAGAGAGGGTTGGCTTGGCTGCTGACTAATCCTCTCAGAATATCAGAATACTAGCAACTGGCTCTCCTGCGAGTCCAGTCCAGTCCAGTCCGGTCCAATCTGGCTTACCAAACAAGAGCTATCAGCAGAGGCTCCAATTTCCTCCTCTCATCATGCATTAGGAATCTCAGTCTCAATCCAAATCTTGTGGGTTCGATTCCCAGGAGGGGCCTCCTTGCTCGCGCGAACCAAACAAGGCTGATGAGGAAGAGAGAGGAAGAAGATGCCCACCAGAACCCTCCCGCCGTCGACAAGCTTCAGCAAGTCGTGCACAGCAACTCTACAGGTAGCTACCCATTCGATTTTCTTTAAGAATAAGGTTATAAATTGGGTTTTCTGATTGGGATTGATGGATGGGTTTTTGGTTTCATAAGGCGGTTGGGACAAGTGCTGGGAGCAAGGTTTGACCCCTTGGGATTTAGGGCAGCCAACGCCTGTTATTTCCCATCTTCATCGGACGGGAGCCCTTCCCAAGGGCAGGGCTCTTGTCCCTGGATGTGGCACTGTATGTACTATTCTACTCATTACTCTCCAGTCACTACACTATTCTCAGTAGGAATTGGATTACGAGTTGTTTGCATGATGGCAGGGATATGATGTTGTAGAAATTGCATGTCCTGAACGTCATGCCACTGGATTGGACATTTCAGAGAATGCCATTAACAAAGCTCTGGAGGTAAACTCCGTTTTCACTTAACCAGAGGTCAATCGCCGTCGGCCATGAATAATATGTACTCTTTTCTGATCCTTTTTAGTTAGATTACGCAGTCCTTATTTTAAATTTCTGTTTGAAATGTCATGGCAGTTGTTTTCCTCACTTCCCAAAGCACGGTACTTTACCTTCTTAAAGGTGGACTTTTTCACTTGGCATCCAACTGAATTGTTTGATCTCGTTTTTGATTATACGTAAGGTTACTTGAAACACTCTGTATTTTTTTTTCCCATGAGAAAGACCTTTTGATTGATCGTGTCTTATGGTACAGGTTCTTCTGTGCTGTTGAACCAGACATGAGATCTGCATGGGCACGGAAGATCGCAGATATCTTAAAACCGGATGGGGAGCTCATAACACTGATGTTTCCTGTATTAACTTTTCTCCCTTGATATTCCTCTCTCTCATTGTGTGTATGTGTGTGTGTCTCTGTTCTTTGTTAGTATTTCCTTCTTACAATGAACATGAACGCATCCATCTGATAATAAAAGGGATCCGGTTTTGATTATCATTTGTGGTAATAGCTCATTTCCTTTTGCATATTAATTTCTTCAAGTTTTATTGAAATTTTGATTAGTTAAAATTATCGAATTTTAATATATATGTTTATACATAGTTTGATACTCTATTGATAAGTAAATTTATCTGATGGTAGACCAGTGATCATATTGGTGGACCGCCTTACAAAGTGTCAGTTTCAGAGTAAGCTCCAACTCCGAATCCTGTTTTACAGTCTTTTAGGTACTGACCTTGTGTTGCTATTGATCACGTACAAATGATACTGTTTTTACTTACAAGACTCTAGTCTATACTGATTATTCTTGATTCTAATTTGTGCAGTTATGAAGAGGTTTTGCATCCCCTGGGCTTTAAGGCAACCTCCATCGTAGACAATGAACTAGCTGTCCGACCTCGCAAGGTATGTACCATGTAATCTAGTTAAATTGGATATGTGACTGCCAAAGTGTAGAAGTCATACTACAAGGTGAAATAAATGATTATAAATATCAAGTACCAAAAACATCACAAATATATCAGCCTTGGGGTGAGTCCACCTACCTCGTTGAATTGAGACGATTATGTAATGTAGATGCTGGCCTATGGCTATTATATAGGCAATCTGAAATGTAATCCCAGACGATTATGTTAAGTACATAGGCAGCCGAAATCCCTGTCACTTCTCTTGGGGTGAGAACTTGCCTCTCCGGAGTTATACTGTCAGTATCGCTCCAACAAGATTAGTAAGGTCGAATTAATCCTTGGTAATCCAAGAAGCATTTGATAATACCCAATTTGATCAGGCTAGAATATGATCCTGAAGAACATCTGCGGTCTCATCTTAGCATAGGAACAGAAGTAAGATTGTAACTGTCATATATGAGGGAAAACAAGTAAACATACATTAGGTCTAAACTTATGAGGACAGGAAAATGTTCATTGCCCCCGTCCAACTATTTGAAGGATTCTTTAGGATGAAGCTCAGGTGCACATGAACCATAAAAACAGTCACCCACATTAAGTTGTGATTCCTCCATTGCACAGAAGTACTCGGAAGCCTCTTAGTTTAGTAGGAAAATCACAAACAATTGCGTAAAGCTGTAAAGGTTCCAGAAAACTCAAAAGGACGAGAGTTGGGTGGCAAAGGTGCGAGATCAATTGGCAAGGGGAAAGACCATGAGCAGTGTGAACTGGTTGTTACAAAACAAACTTATCATTAGGAAACATCTACCCCGTTTACATTGTCAATGACCTTAGCTTTGATTAACCTGTCTAAGGGTGCATATGGACGAAGACTACAGATTTGTGCTTGATGCTGATACGTTCTTTGTTCATCTGTGCTTGCGGAGATACCTAAGTTACTAGCTTTTTTGTTGCTTTGAACTTGTGTTTATCTAGACTCTAGTCTTCTACTATGAAGCTTTACTCGAGTTGATTTGGACATAACCAAGAATACAGTTGGTGTTTATTGAGTTCTAAAAGAAATCGTGATTACAATTTTCAGGGAAGAGAGAAACTAGGAAGGTGGAAGAGGTCTCTAAGCAAATCCTCTCTCTGACAATGACCGGCCGTCATTTGTTTTCCCTTTGCCTCTAAGGAGCTATCAGTCTGCTAAAGCAAAAGCATCTGCAGCAATTTTTCTTTCAATTCTTAATAATTGGTCAGTGTTTAAGGATCCCTGGAAACAGAGGGTGATGTGGTGTACGTTTGAGCCTATTACTCTTCCCAGACTTTGACGAAAGCTTCAAGCATAAGGCTGTGTATTGAATTGGATGACAAGAAAATAAATGCTCGATATTGTGTAATACTTTTGTTCGTGGTTCATTTCGAATCTGTAAATGCGCACAAACGATCCTTTTGCTCCAGAACAGCGGTTTCTTGTTTTTACCATTAGCTAGTTAAATTTTAGAATTTATGTATATTATTTACCGTCGCACTGGTTGCTGCTAGATGATTTTAAAATTTAAAATTTGTGTAATAGATAAATTAAGTCACGCTCATTTAACGGCAATCAATATGGTAGTGATAGTAGTGGCAGTGAGCAAAAATTCAGCCTCTAAAATGGGTAAAAGCAATGCAAATTTGGGTGGCCACACGTGACACGTGTACGGTCAAATTGTAGGCGCATGGTCCACGTAGGAGAGGAGAGCACAATGCACTAATGCAGTGCATTCGTTGGCTACGGAATATAAGCTCCTCCTAGTTCTGCGGAGGCCTCTCTCTCTCCCTCGCTCTCTTCGCTTTCCAACAAACCAACCAACCAACCAACCAACCAACGTGCTCTCCTCTCCTCTCGGACCCCCCTTCCCTCCCATCCCTTTGCAAGTTTAGGGTTAGACCCTTTCTCCTCTCTCTCTCCTCTTTTCTCCTCTCTCTCTCTTCTGGTTTTGTTCTCCTCTTTCTTTCAATTCTGATGGATTTTCTACATTTTTCGTGGTGATATTCATCTCGTTCAAGTAAAGATTCTCTTTTGGCTAGCAGCTCATTTTTAGCTAGCTCTTCATATATTCGTCAACCAACATTAAAACATCTCTTAGTTAACTGATTAGTACCATGGAGGAGAGAGGTGAGGACGACGACAGGGACGCATTGGCGGGCCTAAGCAACGCCCCTCCGCCCCGCAAATCCCATTCATTGAGCCATCAGCTGCGCCCAACCTCCGCCCAGAAACGCCACCACCAAATACGCAAACATAGCCTCGACGACGTCCACGTTGCCCCCAAGAGCGTTAATAGCAATAATAATGTGGACTACTACGACTCTTCTGACGACGATTTCTTTCCTTACTCCACCTCCAACAGCAGCACCACCACCACCACTAGTAATGCTGTTGGCGGTGCTGATTACGAAGTGTACGTGGGCGGCACTCACTCCCAGAGGCTGGACCAAAGCCTCTGCATGGAGGATGGTGATGATCCTGATGGCAACAGAGAATGCCAGCCGTTGCCCGAATTCATTGGCAGCGGCGGCGGCACTGGCATCTTCAAGGTTCCAACTCGCGCCTCCGTCCATCCTGGTCGTCCCCCCTGCTTGGAGCTGAGACCCCACCCTCTCAGGGAGACACAGGTCGGCAGGTTCCTCAGGACCATTGCCTGCACCAACACCCAGCTGTGGGCTGGCCAGGAGGGCGGAGTCAGGGTCTGGAATTTGAAGGACGTCTTTGAACCTGGCTTTGGTATTGCTGGCAGAGTCATGAGGGGTGATGAGGACGCCGCCCCATACATTGAATCCGTCAACACCTCTCCCACCCATTGTCTCACGGTTGATACTGGCAATCGCTTGATTTGGACTGGCCATAAGGATGGCAAGATCAGGTCTTGGAAGATGGATCAGTCTTTGGATGCTTCTACACCTTTTAAGGAAGGTCTTTCCTGGCAGGCCCACCGTGCTCCTGTTCTCGCCATGGTTTTCACTGCTTACGGTCAGTCGCTCACTTGTTACTCTTCATCAAGTGCTTGTGTATTGCTTGGTTCTTTTTTTTTTTTTTAACTTTCCTATGTAAATGTTAATATATTTGATATCATGTTGCTTTGATTGGATGCAGGTGATATGTGGTCAGGTTCCGAGGGCGGTGTTATCAAAATCTGGCCATGGGAAACCATTGAAAAATCTCTCTCCCTAAAACCTGAGGAAAGGCATATGGCAGCTTTACTGGTGGAGAGGTCGTGCATTGACCTCAGGAGCCAAGTTACTGTTAATGGCGTCTGTAGTATATCTTCTCAAGATGTCAAGTGTTTGGTTTCTGATAATTTCAGAGCTAAAGTTTGGTGTGCCGGTTCTATGTCCTTCTCCTGGTGGTTAGTTTTCAATTTGATACCTTCTTTGTGTTAGCGGTGTGTGTGATATGTGTGTGTATTGCTACATGTTTTACACGGTTAACACAATTCATGTTTTTGTATAATGATCAAGAAAGGGAAGAGGAAAAACCTGCGATTTTCTGCAGAATTTCACTCTTTCAGTATTGTATGTTTTCAGGGAGATGTTAAAGTTTCAGGGTGTATCGTTGCTTAGGTAGAGATTCTAATATATAATTTTCATTGGAATTATTCTAAAAGGCTTTGATTTGTCAGGGATGCTCGTACAAGAGAGCTTGTGAAAGTCTTTAATGTAGAAGGTCAGATTGAGAATCGAGTTGACATGTCAGCAGTGCAGCAAGATCAAGCAGTAGAAGATGAGATGAAGGTAAAATTTGTTTCAACATCCAAAAGGGAGAAATCCGGGGGCTTTCTACAACGGTCGCGTAATGCTATAATGGGAGCTGCAGATGCTGTTCGACGAGTTGCAACAAGAGGGGCTGGGGCATTTGTAGAAGAATCCAAGAAGACAGAAGCGCTGGTGCTAACTGCGGATGGCATGATATGGAGCGGATGCACAAATGGTTTACTGGTTCAGTGGGATGGAAATGGTAACCGTGTGCAAGATTTTAATCACCATTATTCTGGTGTCCAATGCTTTTGCACTCTTGGGACACGAATATATGTAGGCTATGTGAGTGGCATGATTCAGGTATTGGATCTTGAGGGAAATCTGATTGCAGGATGGGTTGCACACAGTAGTCCAGTGATAAAACTGGCCGTTGGAACTGGTGTTGTTTATAGCTTGGCCACCCATGGTGGTATTCGCGGATGGCACATCAAATCTCCAGGACCTACAGACAACTTGATACGTACAGAATTGGCTGCAAAAGAAAGTGTATATACCAAAAGAGACAATGTTAGAATTTTAGTAGGCTCATGGAATGTTGGTCAAGGAAGAGCATCTCAGGATGCACTAATGTCATGGTTGGGCTCTGCTGTGCCGGATGTTGGCATTGTAGTTGTCGGGTTACAAGAAGTAGAAATGGGCGCAGGCTTTCTTGCAATGTCTGCAGCAAAAGAAACTGTAAGATCCTTCAATGATGTTGTGAACTGCTTATTTGTTTACTTTGGACAGATACAACATCTCTATTCGTTCTATGGATTGATTGATTTATTTACCATTCTTTTCCTTTTGTAGGTAGGGCTTGAAGGGAGTTCTGTTGGCAACTGGTGGCTTGATAATATAGGAAAGGCCTTAGAAGAAGGAAAAACTTTCGAACGTATGGGTTCTAGGCAGCTTGCAGGCTTGCTCATATCTCTTTGGTAAGCGATTATCCTTGTGGATTTTGTCCTCATATTTTTCTTTCCTTTTATGAGCTCATAATTCTCATATAGGGTAAGAAAGAATCTCAGAACACATGTTGGGGATATTGATGCTGGAGCAGTTCCGTGTGGATTTGGTCGTGCCATTGGTAACAAGGTTTGTTCCTCACCATTCACAGTGCTCATTTGGCATGTATACGGAATTAAATATAGAATGGAGTCAGTTTGATTGTCTGCTCAGTTTCTTAAACATATCGGTTTCTTATTCCTTATGAAAAAAGGGTCACTGAACAGACTAATTATGTTCAAGCAGGGAGGTGTTGGTTTGAGAATCCGAGTCTATGATCGTATAATGTGCTTTGTGAACTGTCATTTGGCTGCACATTTGGAAGCTGTCAATCGCCGTAATGCTGATTTTGATCACATTTATCGAAATATGGTCTTCAACCGGTCATCTCTACTGAACACGGCAGCTGGTATGCTACCATACCTGTTTTTGTCTTGTTCTCTTGCCTTCTCTACGTATTTATTCTGGGTGCTTTATTCTTCTGGCTTGCCATGGGTCCTCTCTCTTGCAGCTGGTGTCTCAACTTCTGTTAATATGTCTCGAGCTCCAAATGTATGTACTTGTTCTAGTTTGTAAATCAATCCTTTTATCCATAATTTTATATTTATTGGCCAAGTGTTAAACAATTGGTGATTTAGGCTGTCAGCAGCAACACTGAAGATATAAGGCCTGAATTAGCTGAAGCAGATGTGGTTGTTTTTCTCGGTGATTTCAATTATCGGCTTTTTGGTATATCTTACGATGAAGCAAGGGACTTTGTTTCACAAAGATGCTTTGATTGGCTCAGAGAAAAAGATCAGCTCAGAGCAGAGATGAAAGCCGGGAAAGTTTTCCAAGGGATGCGTGAGGCACTCATCAGATTCCCTCCAACATACAAGTTTGAAAGGCACCAAGCAGGTTTAGCAGGTATTTGGTCTAGCGGCAGTCAATTTCTGCATTACTATTAACGCTCTTGGTTTCTCTTACACGAGCAAATTGTGCATATCTGCGAAATTGAATTTTCCAGTGTGTTGATTTGAAACTTTGTCTATGCATCCTTTACAGGATATGATTCTGGTGAGAAGAAACGCATTCCTGCCTGGTGCGATAGAATAATATATCGTGACAATCGGCCATTACCAGTTGCTGAGTGCAGTTTAGAGTGCCCTGTAGTCTCGTCAATTATACAGTATGTTCTTCTTCAGGGATAGTTACCTATAGTCTCTTTTTCTTCAATTGTTCTAAACTTGGTACCCGATTTTATATAGGTACGAGGCACGCATGGACGTGACTGACAGTGATCACAAACCTGTCCGGTGTAAACTAAGTTTACAAATTGCTCATGTTGATAGATCGGTAAGGAGAAAGGAGTTTGGGGAAATTGTAAAATCCAATCAGAATATCAGGTCTAATCTTGAAGATTCAAATTATGTTCCAGAAACTATTTTGAACACCAACAACATAATCCTTCAAAATCAGGACACGTCCATTTTGTGTATCACTAATAAATGTGTAAAGGATACTGCCGTATTTAAAATCACTTGTGAAGGCCAGTCCACTGTCAAGGAGGATGGCGAAGAGCCTAACTATCGCCCGAGAGGTGCCAACGGGTTTCCTCGATGGCTTGAGGTATCACTTTCTCCCTGCTGCTTCTGTTATGTCCTATAAATTTTCTTTTCCTTTTTGGAAAGGAAAATGCAGGCGTCTATTCTGCTAATTTACTTCTTTTGTTTTTTAAAACATAAAATAATAGATCACACCAGCAGCAGGCATGATCAAACCTGAACAGTCTGTGGAGGTCTCAGTTCATCACGAAGAGTTTCATACCTTGGAAGAATTTGTTGATGGCATCCCTCAAAATTGGTGGTGCGAAGACACCCGCGACAAGGAAGCCATTTTAATGGTCAGTGTCCAAGGTAGTTGCTCAGCTCAAACATGTAGTCACAGAGTTCGAGTGCGGCATTGCTTCTCAGCCAAGACCCGCATGGACTCAAAATCCAACAGCTCTAAAAAATGCCAGGGAAGTCCAGTTCACAGGTCTGAAGTTCGGCAACCTAACATTTCAAGCGAAACCAACTTAAAAAATCCTAGAAGCTAAACTAGTATCGAATACTTGATAGCACGAGGCAGTTTATAGACACATGGGTCATCAGCTGGTAACAGTGAAGACGGATCTGATACAATACCGAGTGCATTCTTTTCGTTAGAAACTCTAGTGTAAAGCAAAACATGGTGTAAATACTCACTCTTTGAAGCCTGTTTTTTACTTAAAAGACAGTTTAGGGACAGGTTTTATACGTTCAGTATCATGCCATCTCTCTCTGCATTATCCTGTCTGTTTTCCTTCAGGCTTCGTGGTTTATTTCCGATTAGTTTCCGATCAACAGATAAATGCAGAAAAACAAAAGAGACGAACTGAACAATACGATGTGAAAAGGGTAATCAATATTATTAATTATAAACATCAACTGTTATTACAATACTTTGCAGATAACACACGATAATCTATAATCTTGTAATACTTGGGCAGCAGCAGTTGGCAACTTGGCATGGAACATTCATTCAGTTCAGTATCTGCAACAGCCTCACAGGCTCACAGCCCTTAAGGATCAAACAAACCATGGATGTCTGAACTCATAGCATAGACGGTAAACACATACCACACACAGAAGAACCATCGAGAGATCACAAATGAGGAATGAAGCAGATATATGTGTCGTCCATTTACTTGCTCAACCCCGATGCTCTTAATTTCTTCATATATACTCCATATTTCTAGGTTAAGAGATAGATGCTTCACATCAGTTCAGATACGTAATATCTGAATCGGATTAGTGAAGCCATAGGTCACCCGATCCGTTGTGTTTCATTTCTCCCAAATGAAACTTAAAGCGCATACATCCTCTTATATTCGCTGTTCAAAATCTCGTGTTCTGATGCCATAGACATAGACAACGAACGAGACTTACTCTCAGCTCTCCGGATGTTCCTCATTTTGCTCTCCTCCATCCTATGTAAAATGACACAATAGCACATGGAGCCAATGGTGGTAAGCATGATTGTGCTGCCTATAACTGTTGCATACACTGCGAGCCACCTCGAGTGTGAGCCCACCACCACATACGTCAGAGAAATAAAAGCAATCGAAATGAAGAGGCAAGCTAGCCACATGAGCTTGTTGATCACAAACACAAGCTGCCTTTTTGCCTTCTGCTCAATCACAACCACAGATGTCTGGACTACCACAACAGCCAGGGAGATGAAGAGCGCCAGGCTGTCAAATACAAAGAAGATGATGAAAGCGGCATTATTTGCTATGTGCGCTTGTCCAAGCGTAAGCCCTGGCGTTTCTTCCTCAACATATTGGCCAGGAACTGTGAATATGGCCGCAAAAGCAACGGTGGCAATCAGCACGGCAACAATAGTGGCATTGTTTATAGCATTGTTGAGGCCGCTAATGTGGAGCTTTTTCAACTTTTTTGCAATTTTCTGGACTCTGGCACCAGTTTGGCGGGTCTGTTGAAGTTGGGATTGGACATCGTGCTTTATGTCACTCACGGTCTGCTTCAGCTGCTTTGCTGGATTTGCAGGTTTTCCTTGGTCTTTAGAATTGGTGGCCCCTGCTTCCTTTAACACGGCCACAAGTTCTGGACTCCCATATTTTTCTGCAATGTCAAGGGGGGTCTCTCCAGCCTTGTTGCTTGCATTAATGTTACTAGCCTCTTTATTTATGGACAACAGACGGCATACATTCTGTACATGAAGGACATTAGCATTGAGCAAACAAAATTATATTACCAGCTAGCTTGCAGATTTTCAGATTGGTTAGGTTCAAATGAACTCGAAATCACATGCGAGAACTACAAGTGTTGCCATTACCGCATACAAATATCATACACCAATTAAGCACCAACTATGAAAGTACGAAACCATTCTTCAGAGTAAAGCTGTAGCATACATTTTGAGTAAAATATCAGCACGGACATAATATTTAACATGATTTCTCAAGACCTATACAAATGGAAGCTAGACCCCATACCTAGTATAGAAATTTGGATTTAAAACGACGAACACTTGAATCATTGATATTATACATTTCATTAGGTTAGTAAATAAAATTGAAAGAAAAGAAAGGAGGAAGCACCTCAATACGGCCCTTCCTTGTGGCAATATGCAATGCATTGTTTCCCTTGTTATCTTCCACAGTCAAAACTGAGGGGTCGGGTTTCAGCAACTCCAGCACAATCTCCTCATTGTGCCCCTTCACGGCCATGTGTAGCGCAGTTTGGCCTTTAAGATCAGTTCTAAAAGCAGCACTTGGATCCTTGCGTAGAAAGGACTTGACTACTTCCAAGTGCCCCAACCTTGCTGCTGAATGAAGCACAGTCTTCCCATTATTGCGGGCTATCTTGGCAAGATTTGAGTCAGTTTCCAAAAGGAGATTTACAATATTAATATGCCCCTGAGTAGCAGCCGTGTGTAAGGCGGTTGAATTCGATAGATCTGTGGTCATTGCCAAGTTTGGGAACACGTGCAGAAGTTCTTTCAACACCTCTGAAAGAAAGAAACAATTTCAAATCATAATGATGCATAGGGGAAGGAATATTATGTGATAGTCTCCTAAACATAATTAGGCTCTTATAGGTCACCAGACGCATAAGGTGAGAAGTAAAAGCTAGTGTGTGTGTGTGCGCGCTCGTGTGCGTGTTTAGACTGAGGAAGGCACAGTCCAGAAACATTTCAAAATCCAGCTTCAAGAAGATAATATGTTTTTCTGTAACACCGAATTACAAAAATTGTGTTCCTTTTTACCATTGCATATGAATAAACATTATAGAACTGCTTCTATTAAAATATTATGAATTTCAACAAATGAAATGGATATTCATACTACTATCTTACCAAGATGGCCATGTCTTACAGCAATGTGGAATGGGTCGTAGCCATTTCTGGCAGCGATGGATGCAGTTTGAAGGTCCATGTGCTTCAACATTTCCCCAACAACCTCAGCATGCCCATTCTCCGCTGAGGCATAGAGGGGGGTCTCTCCCTCCTGGTTCATCTTCGACAATAAACCAATTGACTCAGTGCTGTTACAATTCTGAAGAATTTCTCTGACTCTAACTAAATTCCCTGCTCGAGCCGCCAAATGGAGTTGGGAGTCACCTCTTTTACCCGGTGACTCTTTGCTCCTCCTCCGTTCACCGCCAATAAAGCTCAGCTGCTTCTCCATAACTATCCGAAAACTCTTCTGCTTCTCCATAAATCCGCGAAAACTCTTCTGTTTTTCCATCGCTCCTCGAGAACTTGACTGTTGCTCGATTGCCCCACTGAAACTTGGTAGTTTTTCCATCCTTGGAGCCTGAAAACTGCTCTGCCTCTCCATGACCAATTTCGCAGAAACCGGTTGATCTCAAACAAAATCCAACTTCCTAGTCCTCAGAATCCTGATTCTCCAATCTCAAATTCTACTTTTCCATGATCATAACCAGATAAACAATTTCAACCAAATTTATTTCCTCACAGTAAACTAATAATCACAATTCTGCAGATATATAGCATCACAAGAAATATGCTTTCCAATCTCTACTTAATTATTGGAATTCCAGTTCTTTGATCCAAAAACTACTTAAGCAAACTGAAACTCGCCATTTGGAATATCAAAACCCGTTGAATAATGAAAACAACAGAACCCAGAAAGGAATCTAAATCCAAATCCAACAGATGACAAGAAACAAAAGTTGAATACCAATTACAAAGTACCTTGATTGTGAAGCTTTATACCTTATTCTAGTGCTCTGAATCTGAAAAGCTGGAACCTTTAGATACCATGCGGCTGAGGCTGAAACCCAAAACCAAAGGCTGAGACCTTGATCAATGATGGGGTATCATCACTATCACCTTATCAGTGAGTAACACTTCCCACCAACAAATTTCTTTTCAACTCAACTCGTACAAAACTACATGAGAATTGAGATTTTATGAGGAGACAGACAGCAAGGACAAACTACTGCTGACAACACCATCTATAATTCTAGAAATGATAACTCGGGAGAGGAGACTCAGTGGAGGAGAGTCGCTTGATGCTTTTTACTTTATCTTTATGAGTTAAAAAAAAAGATTAAGGGAGTGACTGAGTGTGTTTAATCACATAGTAATGTAGTTTAAATTTATTTTTTATAAGATTTGAATTTAAAATATTTTATTTACCAATGAAGAGTAATATTATTAGACTATACTACTAAAAAGCTAATGTTTTTCTATTAAAAGCGACGAATGTGTTTAGGGTGAGATGTATATATGTACTTGGCTTCATTCATGCCATACACATACGCATAAGAATATCCGTCCACAATAATGGACATATATCAAAGGATCAGTATTTGATATTTAAAGGGGTTTTATTCTTTTCCAAATCAAATATCTCCAGTCTAGTGGGATAAATAATCAGACAAATACATAATAACTAATAACTAGCCTTCATGCACGCGCTCACATGCGTGCAGAAGATATTTTTTGAAACATGTTATGTTACGTGCGACTTACACGTTTTAAATGTATTTGTATGCGTAAATTGACAAAAGAAAAGTCAAATATTTGAAATAAATGAATCATGGTAGAAGAAACCCCTCATAAATCAATTAAAGCAGCTGATTTCACATAATAAAATCGGTTTTTATAGAATTTACATTATGAATAGAGAAAATAATATTTAATAAATAATTGATTGAATCATATTATTATTAGTCCATTGTGAGGCTAAGCCCACCCTCCCTCCTCTTTAGTGTAGATAACATTGTTTGTTAAAAAAAATCATTTGACAACTAATTGAATCACATTATTATGCGCGTGTGAGAGATTTTTTTGTAACTGGCACTACACACCTCTTAAGTGTTTAAAAATTGAGAAATAATATTTAATAAACAACGGTGTGCAAAAGGTATTTTTTAATCACACCGTGTTATGCGTGACTTACACATTTTAAATGTATTTATATTTGTGAATTGATTCAACATTTTTTTATTTCGTTATTTTCTTTTTTTATCACCGGTGCTACGCGCCTCTTAAAATGTTTTGAACACAATATTTATGATTTTTCTTTCCTATCACGTGGGCATCATCAACTTTGTCATTTGTTTATTCTTTTCTTTCTTACTTTTCATTTTTTTATTTCTTTTCTCTTTTCTTATTTATATTTATATTATATTTTATAATTATCAAATTATCAACTTACCCTTGCATAATTTGATATATTATTTTAGGCAGCTTTTGAATTTTTTGACCGAAGGGCAGTTTAGTTCAAATCTTTTTGTCGAAGGGGCGACGCCAAATTTTTTGTCGGCATCTGGGGGCACCAAATTTCACTGTTCATCGCACTGCTTTATCTGTTCACTGAGCTTCTTGCTTTCTTATATAGATTAGAGATAATATAGAATTTTTTGTTTTTGTCTTGGAAGAGTTGTATTGAGAAGAAGAAATAAAGAAGGATACATGATACATGTGCATCCCCATAATTGCGGAGGAAAAGAATCATTCCCAACTTTGATATATATTTACAAAGAATTAATAATTAATATAGAGGATAAGTGGTTATCTACCACAGTGGTGTACCTTTCGTGTTTCTGCCATAATGAAAAATTTCTTGTGAAGAAGAGTGTTGCCTTTGCATTATAGTGGGTTCAAATCCCGTCGGCTTCCTAATTTAACATCTAATCTAACAAATATATTATTTAATATAAAAAAATGTAGAGGATAATATATATATACATACGTATATGTGTTGTATATGTTGATCAATCAGTATCCTTAAACATAAGGAGTTCTTAATAAACAACGAATAAGTGGTGATAGCAACAAATATAAATATATTGAAAAAGAAAGATTGAAGAAGATGCATGGCATGTGGAGTGTGGAGACACTCCTGGTGGACACCCTCGGGCAACAATATGGTAAGGCCATATCTAATCATTGAGCTAAAACCTAAAATTTTTAGTTCAAACATAGTTTTTCTACTCCAACCGTTCTGATCTAAAATTTTAGTTCAAGATTAGTAAAGAATGAACTTAGGCTAATTTTTTTTCTTAAATTAACTTTAAACAAAATTTATGTAGACTATCGTAAATTAATTTTATGAACATTTTAATATAAAACTATTTAAATTCCGATAAATATTGAAAAATCACTAAATCGATACATGAAACTCATGAAACCCTATGGAAGAATATTAAAATCATGATAAAGATGTATGAACACAAAATACATGAAACATACAAGACACACAGAACACATGTGAAACGCATCATACACAAAACACATGATAAATATGAAACACACACAAAACACATGTGAAACACGTGACACACACAAAATACATACCAAAATACATACAAAACACATGAAACACAAACCTACACACATGAAACTGAAACATCCAATCATCCTCTATATAAACACAGGTTGAATATCAAACCATCACACAACATATTCACCAATCTTTCAACTTTTAAAGTGTTTTTGTTTCCTAAAAATCCTCAATATCTCATCAATGGGTGATAGAAGAAGGCGTAGCAGGGCAATGCAAATGGCACAATACCAAGCAAGCCTTGACAATGCGGATGCAGAAATGATCAACGCAGAAGCCAAATTTGCAAACTCACTTATGCAATATGAGCACCATGCCGAATTTAGTTATCGTGGTTCTGTCACGGGGCATTCATTTGTGCAGTGTGATAGAGAAGAGTGTTATGACCGAATGATGAAAGATTATTTCATCGAATCTCCGAGACATCCTGCTCAAGATGTTCAAAGGCGGTTTCAGATGAAGAGAAAGTTTTTTGAAAGCATCTTGAGTCAATCATGACCACTACTTTGCAAGGAAGATAGATGTCATAGGCTGACAAAGTTTATCACCTCATCAAAAGCTCACATCTGCATTTCGGATGTTAGCTAATGGGTCATCTGTAGACTCAATTGACAAGTATTGCCAACTTGCAGAGACTACTGTTATTGAGAACCTGAAGCGCTTCTGTAAGGCAATTGAAGCCACATACCTCCGTAAGCCAAATCGTGAAAATTTAAAGAGGCTTCTACGCAAGACAGACAAAAGAGGCTTCCCTGGCATGATAGGAAGTCTTGATTATATACGTTGGAAGTGGAAAAATTATCCTACTGCTTGGGCTGGCCAATTCAAGGGCCATCATAACAAGCCAACCATAGTGCTCGAGGTTGTGGCGTCTTACGACACATGGATTTGGCATGCTTTCTTCAGCGCTCTTGGATCAAACAACGATATCAACGTTCTTTGGTCTTCTCCTTTGTTCAATGATGTTGTCAATGGATGGGCACCAGACTTTCGATACAAAGTAAATGGTAATAGATATAAGCTAGGTTACTACCTAACTGATGGTGTTTATCCTAGTTGGTCTACCTTTGTCAAAAGTTATTCTCATCCCGATAGTGCGTAGAAGAAATTATTTTCGCAAAGGCAAGAGTCTTACAAGAAGGATGTGGAGAGAACGTTCGGGATCCTACAAGCTCGATGAGCCATTATTAGAAGGGCTGCACGATTGTGGCATACCGAAGACCTCCATTCAATATGATGACATGCATAATTTTGCACAACATGATTGTGGAAAATGAGTACATCGAAATTGAAGAAGATTCAGATGAAGATGTGAATGATGACCAACCAACATATGCAAGAGTTATGGTAAGAGATGTTGAATATCTCACTGCAACCACATATTGGACCTGACAGGATATGGTTACATTGAGTGAGTATATGATACGTTTAAATATAATTCAAGCTCCTCAAGGTCATGACACACTTCGCAAGAATTTGGTTGAGCATATATGGCGCCGAGAAGGTGAACGTTGATGAGGTTGGTGTATTAATGTGTTCTTTTGTTAATTTTAAGTGTGCTAAGTTGTTATTTTATGTAATAATTTTAAGTGTACTATGTTGGTATTTTCTAGTAATAAATTGAAGTGTTTTCTTGTGCGAAGTCTTTTGTCTAATACGTTGTCAAAATTATTGAATGTCGTTTGAATTATTGAAGGCATCTATTATACATCCAAGTGTGCAATAATAAGTACAATAATTATTGAAGACATCTAGATTAATAGAAACAATAATTAATAAATCATAAATTTAATACACACGACAATTAATAAAGTACATAAACTTAATACAAACGACAATTCATAAACCACATAAACCACATAAACTTAATACAATCAATAATTCATAAACTACATAAACTTAATAATGATATCCACCATCTTGGCTTGGTGGTGGACTTGATGGTGGACTTGGGATATAGCCTTGAGGTCATTCATCATCTTGAAATATACTCCTTGTAGCATACTTTTGCAAAATTTCATTTTGCTTACCACGTAGGAACTTCTTCCTCTCTGGAGTGTATTTGTTGAGATCCTCAATCATGAAATTAATTTTGAACCTTTCTTGCTCCCTATCCCCTTCTTCCTTCATGGCTAAACGCATTCGGGCCACTTCTTCTTGCCGAGAGTTATGGATTTCGGACAGTCTTGCAAATCCGGTAGCAATGTGTCCACTCATTGGCTCTTGGGACTTCCCTTTTCTCTTTGCTTCCTTTTGTTTATCTCTTCCCAGGGGCCTTGCAATAGAAGAAGTTGCAATAGAAGAAGTTGGGGTCATTTCATCGACACCTTCATTAACACCTTCATCTCCATCATTTGTCGGTGCAGCTTCACATTGAAATAATCTTCCCCATTATTGGTCTGCATCGGTTGCCTACCTCGGACAATCCTTGAGGACGTCCCAAGCATGATGCAACTTAAAAGGTTGATTTTTTGGTGTTACTCTTGTCATGTAAATTGCCATTGCTTTGTCACCCTATGCAAAAAATACATAAAAATAATTAGTTGCAAAATAATATTATGTACATGACAAATAAAATATCAACAAAAAAGCTCACAATTTATGCGGCACTCATTCCACTAGCCATTTCAACCACGGCTTTCTCCAAACTTCCCTTCCATAAAGTGCATGCTTTGTTGATAGTCTTCCATCGATCGTAAAGACCACCACCTTCCCTCCTGCCGCCGTTGCAATTTTCATGGAACTTTTCAATGATTTTATCCCACAGAACCTTTTTATTTTGATTCGTGCCAACTGCACCATCTTCGCTAATAGAAACTCATGCAAAGCATAAAGCAACCTTCCTCATAGGTCCAATTACGACCTCTAATATGCTCTCTTGCCATCTTGAAAATTTTGGAAATGGGAAGAAATGGTAGAAAGAAAAATTGGAAGAATTGTAAGAAAAAAGTGAGTTTGGTGTGAATGTTTGAACAAATATAGGTATTTATAGAGTTTTTGGGTGAATTTTGAGTTAAATATTTTTTTTAATTATTTTAGCTGTTAGATTTAAATTTGGGCCGTTAGATTTTTTTTTATCGTTAGATTTGATTATATTCGATCTCAGCCGTTGATATAAAAAATATAAAAAAGAAGTTTGAATCTAGGCTATTCGATCAACCAACGGCCTGTTGATTCCATCCGTCGAATCAATAGAGCCGTTGGTGCGCCTAGGGAACGTGGCCGGCATGCCCACGTGGGTGGGGCCCAGTCAGTTTGATAGTGCGTCTGGTGAGTGGGTGGGGGTGTTTGGCGCACAAACGCCCGGTTTTAGGTGCACCGGTGGGGCCTACGCCGAATCCTGGGCTAATTTTTTTACGGAATTTGGCTTGAGTTTGACTTTTGGCTTTTAGCCCAAACATTTAGGTTGGGTTGGGTTTAGTGTTTAGGAACAATGAGCACACCCCAAACAATATGCAAATTGCAGAGTTTAGATCATATCCAAAAAAGATGTCAAATCTTAAGTGAAATGTTAACTAATCACTTTTGACAGCAAATATTACTCCAATCGAACAATCTTTTAGTTGACCTGGAATGGCAACAAGGCTTCTAGCGTCAATTTCAACACTACCTTAATTTGCATTTTATTTATTTTTTAATTGGTACGTCCCATAATCCACCTGAATATAAAGCTTTAAAAATGATTTTACTGTTTATTTTATTTTGAAACGGGCCTTATATGGTAGTAAAATAATAATTAACATACTAGTTGGAATACAAATAAATTTGATAGCATTCCTCAAAATAACACATCAACCATCAATTAAGCATTTAAATAAAAAAAATTGACATATTTATTGAAGATGCTCGGTAAAAAGAAGTCAATAGAAAATTAATTATTTAGTTGTTTACAAAAACAATTAATTATTTTGTTTACAACAACTAAAATGGCTTAAGAGAATTGAGGGTAATGTTGTATAGCACTATGTAGCATGTGAATAAGAATCCATTTGAATTTTCAATCCCAAGTTTGAAAATATATAAAGTCGGAAGGAATTTGATGAATGGAACTTTGTTGATAATGACTGCCAGCTGCATTGAATCATTCATCAATCCTACAGCTCTCACGGGCTCAACTTACATGAATCAAAGTTCGGATCTCTCTTCCTCTTTTCAACAGTTCAAATTTCTTGATCGTCGATTTAGAATTGCAAAATCTAGAAAAGATCTAACGGTAAAAAAAAATAAAATCTAACGGTCCAAATTTAAATCCAATGGCTAGAATAATCTTAAAATTTATCGGAATTTAAATATTTTTTCCAACGGCTAGAATAATTTTTTTTTTTTAAGTTTATGTGGTTTATCATGATTTTCATGTATTGATTTAGTGATTTTTCAAAATTTATCGGAATTTAAATATTTTTAGGTTAAAATATTCATAAAATTAATTTAGGATAGTCTACATAATTTTTTTTTTAAAAAGTTAATTTAAAAAAAATAGCCTTAATTCATTTTTTGATAATCTGAGGCTAAAATTTTAGGCCAAAAGGGTTGGAGTAGAAAAGCTGTTTCTGGGCTAAAACCTAAATTTTATGGGCTAAATATTTTTAGGTTTTAGGTCAGGATTGGAGATGGTCTCACTAGCTCAACTTACATGAATTAAAGTTCTCTCTTCCTCTTTTCAACAGTTCAAATTTCTTGATCCGTGGATTTAGAATTGCAAAATCTAGAAAATATCTGAATTCTATGCACACCACTTGGCTTGGCACTTGATAAAGGTCAATGACGTAGGTCTCACAATTACGTAGGCAAATAAAAAAACAATTTGGATATTGTATAGGGTAATAATAATTAGACAAATGCATAGTATAACAATTTGGAGAGAAACATGGGCTGATCTGTAATCTCAGATTAGTAATATATAATAGGATAATGTTAGGAACATTAAATTTTCAAACTAAATTTTATAAATTTAATTTAAAATTTTAGTTTCTCTTGCATTACTATATTGTATATTACAAATCTGAGACTAAGGAGGAACCCCTCTTTCTCTCCAAACCTAAACTTTTAGGAGTCTTCCAAAATTTTAACTGTAGATTACTATATATGAAATTAAATTTGATTTAACCTAATGAAAAACATTAAACTTTTAACCGTTTGTAGATTAATCTACGTTTGTTTCATTTCACATATGTATTTTATCTTTTACTGCTAAGTTTAAAAAAGGCATGTGTGAGTGACTCTGTGTGCAAACTATGAAGTTGACATGTGCCTAATGTTTGTTGAAGGAAAATAACATAGCCATTGGCATATGTAATTATACAATTAGTTAGGCATGCAGCCTCTTTTGACTGAGTATCAAGATCCGAGACTGCGCGCGGCGGTTCTCCATTTTTTATTTCTTTCTCTGCTTTCCGGTCAAATAGGGGTACGGACATTCGTGTGCGAGACATGATGATGATACTCTAACCAGAATAGAGTCGGTCAGTCAAATAACACAAACAAAATTCTTTGAGTGTTTCGGAGTACTGGTGTAAAAGAATAGTTAAATATTTCAAAGATTGTAATCGTTAAACTTTTAATTTTTATACTTCTAAATAAAAATTGACGATTAAAAATAATATCCAAAAAAATCCCCAAATACCCTAAAAAAGTGTGTGCAAATTGTAAGCAGCAGCAGATCATCTCCCAAACAATCAAAGTTAATTAAGTTTTGACCGTACGTGCTGATTCCGTAGTTATCATCTAATTACTTAAAGTGCATGTTTGAGATCATCACCTTCATTCGATTTCAATCTGATGACTGTACTGCTGATTTCTCTTTATTCTAATTAAATTGCGATTGACCAGTGATCAATCCATGTTTATTTTATGTTGAAAATCAGTTGACCAGCGATATTGGATCCATATTTTGCATGTGTTCATTAATTGATGCCTTAGTGTCAGTTTTAAATTGAATAATTTGCAGTGAAGGACGTTAGATGAACATATATATATTTTTTAATTTATGACAAATTGCTTAAAATCGGTATAACAAACTGTTTAAAAAATTTAGTTCATATACAAATTGAAACTGTTTTATAAGTTCATATTATACTTCAGAAAATTTCCTGTTTGCAATTT